TGCTCTATTACTATAGTACTATACCACCTTCAACTTTTACTAACGACTGGGTGTTTAAGTTGAGCGATTTGTCGTATTATCTGGCTGTATAACAAATGAAAAATACAATTACTTTACTATGCAAGTTAGAAAAAAAGAATATTTACGTGTTTTTTTTACTGCTGATGATGCTACTACTGTTGATGATATTGCTGCTGTTAGTACTGCTGATGCTGCTAGTACTGCTGATGATGCTACTGCTGATATTACTGCTGCTAGTACTGCTGATGGTGCTGCTAGTACTGCTGATGCTGCTACTACTGCTGATGATGCTGCTACTACTATTGATAATGCTGCTAGTACTGCTGATGCTGCTCGTACTGCTGATGCTGCTACTACTGCTGATGATGCTGCTAGTACTGCTGATGCTCCTACAGCTGATGCTGCTACTACTGCTAATACTGCTGCTACTACTGCTGCTACTGCTGCTACTGCTGATGATGCTAGTACTGCTGATGCTGCTACTACTGCTGATGCTGCTGCTAGTACTGCTGATGCTGCTACTACTACTGCTGATGATGCTGCTAGTACTGCTGATGCTCCTACAGCTGATGCTGCTACTACTGCTGATACTGCTGATGATGATACTGCTGCTGATGCTGCTAGTACTGCTGATGCTGCTGCTGCTACTGCTGATGCTGCTGCTGCTACTGCTGATGCTACTACCACTGCTGATGCTAGTACTGCTGATGCTGCTACTGCTGATGATGCTGCTCCTTTAAACACAAATTGTGTTTCCCCCACACCGCCCCCGCCCCCCAGAATGTGTGCGTTGGTCTCTGCACGTGCGCGGTGGATTTCAAAGCCAATGGGTCGCGGCGTTTAGGAGAAATACGGGGGCCGACTCGCCGTGCCCACCGTGCCGACACCGTGGGCAGAATGCGGATGAAACGTGGGTGGAGCCAGGGTGAAGCGAATGCATGGGGGGGGGGGGATATGCATTAGCAGATTACTGCACAATTTCACCAGACATTTTTAATATTATTGCTATGGTTATAGTGATAGTACGGGGCCGGGTTTGAATGTAGCGCGATTCAGAACGCCACAAAGGATGTCTGTGTCGTTCTGAGGAGTGGAGCGGTCAGCGCCAAGCTGCGCTATGAACCCGGCGACCCGAGTTCGATTCCCGCTCACGGCCAACACCGGTGACGATTATCTGAACCCGGTCCTGGGCCTCCCCTAGATCGACTCAGCCTCAAATGAGTAGCTGGTGCGGTGTGTTAATATCGCCACCGGGGAGACAAAGGCGGCCGGGCGTGGTGCTGGCCACCCACCCCCCTCGTGCCGTCCTTCGTAGGTGCTCGCAAACAGCACTTGCTCCAACAGTCTGTTGAGGCTATACGGGGGATCTTTGTCTTGTACAGGTACCGCTCGTTTTGTCAATCCACTGCTGGATGAGAGCCTCCCCACCAGAAAGCAGATCAGTCGGAGAAGCAGAGGCACACGTGACTGGCTTTGTCTCTCTCCCTGTGCATCTCTCCCTGTGCGTCTGTCTCTCTCCCTGTGTCTCTCTCCCTGTATCTCTCTCCCTGTGCGTCTCTCTGTCTCTCGCCCTCTCTCTCCCTGTCTCTCTCTCTCCGTCTCTCTCCCCGTCTCTCTCCCTGTGTCTCTCTCCGTCTCTCTCTCCCTGTCTCTCTCTCCCTGTCTCTCTCTCCCTCCCTGTCTCTCTCTCCCTGTCTCTCTGTGCATCTCTCTCCCTGTGTCTCTCTCTCCGTCTCTCTCCCTGTGCATCTCTCCCTGTCTCTCTCCCTCTACCAGCGCGGGGCTGGGAGCGAGATGCGCTTCTGCGGCCGTCTGTAACGCTCTTCCTTTTCAATACTCGGAAGCCACAGTAGCAGCTATGCACTTTTAAACCATCTACATTGACAAACTCATTTCTTTAGAACTTATTGTGTTTAGTTTGTTGTCCTTCCCGCCCCCCCCCCCCCCCCCGAATTAGTACGGTTGCCTACGTACGGTGCGAAAGAAGTTCACCATACACACGTACCGAGACGACACTCGCCAACTATGATACCCGTTGCATGGTTTGCCGACTCAATTAGCGGCCATTGGTGACGCTAGCCCCTCGCAGTAGCAGTAACCTGGGCTCGAATCCCTTCCTGTGTAGAGTTTGTATGTTTCACACCCCCCACTCCCTGTCCATCAGCGAGTGGTGTTGGGGGTGCGACTGACTGACTGAGTGCAGCGTGCATTTTGGGGAGCGGTGGGGTAGCGGTTTAGCGCGCTGCACTGTGCACACGGGCCACCCAAGTTCAATTCCCAACATCGGTGACGATCACCCGAGTCGGTCCTGGGCCTCCCCCCTAGGTCAACTCGGCCTCAAGTGCGGTGTGTAAAAACACCGCCACTGGGGAGACAAAGACGGTCGGGCGCAGTGCTGGCCACCCCCTGGTGTACCGTGTCGATCATCATCGGCGCTCGCTAACAGCCAACAGCTCCGCCTTTTTATTATTACACGCTTATTATTAACGCACTCCGCCTGCTGTTGTTGTATCCTCAAGTCTTGTTAACTCAATTTTAGCCCACTTCACAATGTGGTATCGACTGCAAAACTTCGTATACCTATGCCATACTAATGACAATACTATAATCCATCATAAAATATTTTTTAAACATTCTTTTCGAGATGTTACGTTTCGGCTCGGGTCTAATTGTCCACTGTAAACTGACGTTGGCCGTAAATCACCACGGGTCCCTTACTTACGGCAAGCTTCGGGGAGTCGTCGAGTTTTTCCATTACTAGTAGGGTACATTTCAATAAAGTGTGTTTTTAAAAGTTTTTTTTTTAATATTACTTATTTCTGAATGGGTTTCCTCCGGACGCTCTGGTAAATCGGTCAAAACAAGATTCTATGTTGTTCCAATCTGCTTCTCACTCTCAATGTCTCCCTGATGCAGAATTTAACAGGGTGGCCCAATAGTCAAGACACGTAGGGTTGTTATTATACAGGGTGGCCCAAAAGTTAGGACACATAGGGTTGTTATTATACAGGGTGGCCCAAAAGTCAGGACACATAGGGTTGTTATTATACAGGGTGGCCCAAAAGTAAGGACACATAGGGGTTGTTATTATACAGAGTGGCCCAAAAGTCAGGACACATAGGGTTGTTATTATACAGGGTGGCCCAAAAGTTAGGACACATAGGGTTGTTATTATACAGGGTGACCCAAAAGTTAGAACACAGGGTTATTATTCAGGGTGCCCCAAAAGTCAGGACACATAGGGTTATTATACAGGGTGGCCGAAAAGTCAGGACACATAGGGTTGTTATTATACAGGGTGGCCAAAAAGTTAGGACACATAGGGTTATTATACAAGGTGGCCCAAAAGTCAGGACACATAGGGTTATTATACAGGGTGGCCCAATAGTCAAGACACATAGGGTTATTATTATACAGGGTGGCCCAAAAGTCAAGACACATAGGGTTATTATACAGGGTGGCCCAATAGTCAAGACACATAGGGTTATTATACAGAGTGGCCCAAAAGTCAGGACACATAGGGTTGTTATTATACAGGGTGGCCCAAAAGTCAGGACACATAGGATTATTATTATTATACAGGGTGGCCCAAAAGTCAGGACACATAGGGTTGTTATTACACAGGGTGACCCAAAAGTCAGGACACATAGGGTTGTTAATATACAGGGTGGCCCAAAAGTTAGGACACATAGGGTTGTTATTATACAGGGTGACCCAAAAGTTAGAACACATAGGGTTATTATTCAGGGTGGCCCAAAAGTCAGGACACATAGGGTTATTATACAGGGTGGCCCAAAAGTCAGGACACATAGGGTTGTTATTATACAAGGTGGCCCAAAAATTAGGACACAGAGTTGTTATTATACAGGGTGGTCCAAAAGTCAGGACATATAGGGTTATTGATATACAGGGTGGCCCAAAAGTCAGCACATAGGGTTATTGATATACAGGGTGGCCCAAAAGTCAGGACACATAGGGTTATTGATATACAGGGTGCCCCAAAAGTCAGGACATACAGGGTTATTGATATACAGGGTGGCCCAAAAGTCAGGACACGTAGGGTTATTATACAGGGTGGAACAAGTCGAGCCACATAGGGTTATTATACAGTATTGGAAACTGGGTTGAAGCTGATTCGCATGGCTAGAACACGTGATACAAACATTGGAAGGTAATTAACATGGAAGGTTCCAGTGTGGAGACTGAAAAGGCAGGTCTGGCAAGAGGATGAGAAGTTGTGAACCAGCTGATGGACTGTGGATTGGATGTTGAGATGAGTTGAGACTAGTATAGTAATAGGTTTTACCCTTTTTAACTGGCACAAAAACTGGCACCTTTATTCAAGGCATCATGTTTGCAATAACCACAACACAAGCAGTCAAAATGCAAACAAAAGAGACAACTCTGATAATAATATGCACTGTCCTTGAATTTGATTGGTCCACACCCGAGACGGCTTTTCTTAGAGCCTAGTCTCCACTGGTGTTGGACCAGAAGACGCCAAAAGGTGTACAACTCAAAAACAGCGCACCATCAGAGTATTGAGAGCTCGGAGTGAGCATTTACATTATGAGACCTCCTTTGCCAGTAACAAGATATAGTAATAGGTCTCTTTTGTTTGCATTTTGACTGCTTGTGTTGTGGTTATTGCAAACATGCCTTGAATAAAGGTGTCAGTTTTTGTGCTAGTTAAAAGGGTAAAACCTATGACTGGACTAACTGTCCGCGAATCAGCTTGGACTAACGCCCCCCCGCATTTCAGCTTGGACTAACTGCCCGCGCTGCAAGTTAGAGTAACCGCCCGCGTCGTGCGCGTGGAGACGTCCTTCCGCTTGTGCAGTGCGGGGGATTGCAGTACATTTTAACTGCTGCGTGACAACGGGGGGAGGGGGGGTGGGGAGACCAAACACTGCACGGTGCACACCGCAGGTACCCTCCTGTCCAAAGTTACCACGATAGATGCTGCTGGAAAACACTGCTCGTGAAAGTCCATCAGGCCGCTGGACACGTTACTTTATTTGACTTTCGACAGGATGCGACAGACCCCTTTTGTTTTACTATTTCCATTATAGTAATGTTAACATTCCTTTAGGTAATGAGATATCGGTACAGCAGGTGGGTTTGCGAACCCATCTTCAACAACCGCCGAGTGCCGTTACGCCCACAAGAGTCAAAAGTTCTCCGGCACACTCCGGATTTCCCTCCGAACGAAACGCTCGTTCAAATTGATCAGTTCCAACACCGCGAGCGGGTCCGCGGGCCCCCCCCGCGCCTCAGCTGTGCTTCATCGTCGGCCCCGGCTTGTGCAGGATATACCGGCCGACCTGACCGTCGCGCTCCAGCTCGCGCATTATGTCGTCGCGGTGCATGCGCCGCCGCAGCACCAGGTGGCGCCGGCCGTCCCGCCAGTAGCTCTTGCTGCGCAGGTTGTAGCGCGCGGCCACCAGGTGCACGCACTTGCGCTCGTCCAGCGTCAGCTCCGACGAGAAGGTGAGCTCGTCCTGCCGGGACGACATGGCGTATTCCCGGATCACCTCCTCCACGCTGCGCGCCGTCACCGCGCTGCCCTGGTTCGTGCCGAGCCCCTCGCGCGCCATGCGCTGGTGCACGGTGATGGGCTCGGCGATTCCCTCGCGCCCGGCCGCGCCGATCCCGCCTCCCGTCCAGCCCATCTTGCGCATCAGCTGGCTGCCCACGTTGTCCTCCGACAGGCGCTCGCCGCCGCCGCGACGCAGGATGTCGCGGCGCGACACCGTCGGCCCCTGGGCGACGTTGCCGACGTTGCCGTTGGCCGTCGGCGTGATGGTGGGGCGGGTCTGGCGCAGGAAGGCGAGGCCCTGCTCGGCCACGGTCTGCTTCACCGCCTTCTTGGGCCCCACGGCGCTGGTGACAAAATCGCCGCCGATGTAGAGCGAGCAGCACCAGTGGAACACGCCGCTCGCGTCCATCTGCAGCGGCTCGAAGCGGAACTCCACCTCGGTGCGGTTGAACTGCGCCGAATTGTTGAGCACGCACACGGGGTTATCGGCGTTGTCCAGCACCACGAACTCGCGCAGCGTCGATCCACGTCCGTGCCACTGCCCGCCGCAGCGCTGCTGATGCATCGTCAATTGCTTCGCCGGCGCCGCCGCCGCCGCCGCCGCCGCCGCCCCCGCCCCCGGAACGTTCCGGGTCTTGGGAGCGGGGTCGCAGAAGGGATCCGAGAGCGTCGGCGGCAGGTCCGGCCTGGCCGGCTCCAAGCGGTCGTTGAGCACGAGGTCGTGCATGGCGGAGCCGCGTTCGAGGGAGCCAAAGCCCGGGTTGGCGCTGGGCGCGGCGCCGTTGTCGCCGCGCCGAAGCAGGATGCTGCTGCGGTGCCGCGTGACCTCCTGCACGTGCACCGAGTCGCGCAGGAAGAGGCTCAGCGCTCGCTGGGTGGCGCGGTCGCGGGCGCCGTTCTTGCTGCCCGAGTAGCCGGTGGCAAGGTAGATGAGGCGGCAGCGCAGCTCGCAGGCGTAGCCCTGGGTGGGCAGCTGCCGGTCCTTGGGCAGGTCGGCCGGCGCCAGCCTCGACAGCTCCACGTACGTGTACTCGGGGTTGCAGCCAGACTCCTGCGCGGCGGCCGTGAAGAGCTTGCTGAAGTTGAGCTCGCTCCTGAAGCCGCCCTCCTCCTGCAGCATCCGCTTCACCACCTTCGGTCACGGGAACAAGGGTGAGAGGGACGAGCGAGGATTAACCCTGCCGCCTGCGATGCAGCCAAGGGGCCGCGAATGCGGTTCGGCATCGCGGTCCCACACCAAAAGGGGGCGATTCTCTTTAAGACATTGGTAGTACCGCCCCGTTTGCAGCGTCCGTCTTTCACGTTCCGTCTCCGTTGGTCCGTAGGACGTTCATGGGTAACGCTTGCGCACAGCGCGAGGCCTTCGTCATGAATTTTACGTGAAATATTCAATGCGTGTTATCATTTTACTTCATCATGTGCAGGCAAGACCTCGCTTGGTGCTGAAGATGCATTCGTATTTACGCGTACGTGTGTGTATGCTGCGGGGAGCGGTTGTGCAGCGGTTAGCGCGCTGCGCGACGAAGCCAGCGACCCGGGTCCGATTCCCACGCACGGCCAACACCGGTGGCAATTATCTGAACCGGTCCTGGCTCCCCGAGGTCGACTCGGCCTCAAATGAGCACCTGGGGCGGTGTTTAAACATCGCCACTGGGGAGACAAAGGCGGCCGGGCGTCGTGCTGGCCACCCACCCCCTCGTGTGCCGGCCTTCGTAGGTGCTACTCGCTAACAGCACTTGCCCCAACAGTCTGTTACAGGCTATAGGGATCTTTGTCTTTTTGCGTCTATAGAACTTGTCGCACCGTACATAGCCAAACGTGCTAATCTGAGGTGGATTGAGCGCTAATTGAATCAGGACTAAAAGTGGTCATTATACCATTGTATATTCGGGGATGTGTTTCCAAGAGCATTATTTATTTCGTACGAGCAACGTATGCGGGCTACATTGGGGTATCGGTAATGGAGCTAATAATGCAGGTGATTAACATTATTTAATAAACAAACAGGGTAGGGAGGCCCTACCAGGAGTACAAGACTACAGGCAACATAGCTCGGAGGTTCATTGATGTCTATTGTATCATTGTGCAATTTCCCCCTAACGTTAAATTTTATAGTATGACTATGAACAATTTTCTACCACTACCAGTTTATTTGATTTGCGACAAATGATGCATCCAATGTGTCTTCGTCGATGCTATTATTCTAGTGGGCATGTCAACGTATTAATACCTCACTTCTGTGCTTTTGGGGCAATTATCTCTCCACCATGACTGAAAGAGATGCCTCTCTAATCACTCACCAAATACAAATCTGCAAGGAATAAACAGGACATGTTTCATGAAGGGAGCAAAACTTGACTTTTCAAATAAACAAATGCGGGATACCGGCACCCTGTCCCACTTGGCCTTTCATCCATTCGGGTTTGGTTTGCCAGTGCTGTTTAATACAATTTCTGCAAACTTAAGTTCCACAAATAAGGAGGGGAGGGGGGTCTCTCTGTACTTCTTGGCCAAAATTTTTGGCCAAGAAGTGATAACCAAAATAAAAGGGCCCCTCAGTAGTGGCAGTTTTTTTCCGAATAGGGAGTTATCTCAAGCAAGACGTCCATATCCCGAAAACCCATTTTTCTCATCTCTGCTAAATAACGATTAGTTAAACAAAATGTTTTTTTTTTTACAGAAATCGGTTCACACCTCCCGGGGGGATTTTCGCGGTGCAAGAACTTGAATTACCTTGTGCAATCGTGTGAAGATAATCTGCCTCGGTTGAATCTTGATCTTGTCGAACGGCGACTGCGCCTGCTGTTGCTTCGGAGATTGCGACAGCAGCGGCTGTTTCACCACCGGTGCCGCCCTCACCGGCGCCGGCGCCACCGCCGCAGCGATCCAGCTGTCCTGAGTGGGGTCCCCCAAGGAGTCGGTGAGCGCCGGCAGCACGTCCGTTCTGGGCGACTCCGCGCGGTCGTTGAGGACGAGGTCGTGCATGGTGGAGTCGTCTTCGGCGGAGCCGAGCCCCGGGTTTGCGCCGTTCCTGCTGCGGCGAAGCAGGATGCTGCTGCGGCGCCGCACGAACTGCTGCACGTGCACCGAGTCCTGCAGGAAGAGGCTCAGCGCCCGCTGAGTGGCGCGGTCGCGAGCGCCGTTCTTGCCGACCCAAAAGCCGGTTGCCAGGTAGACGTGGCTGCAGCGCACCTCGCAGGCGTAGCCCTGGGTGGATAAATGTTGCCCCGCAGGCAGGTCGGACGGCGCCAGCCTCGACATCTCCACGTACGTGTACTCGGGGTTGCAGCGCGACGCCTGCGTGGCGGCCGTCAGGAGCTTGCTGAAGTTGAGATCATTCCTGAAGCCGCCCTCCTTTTTCAGCATCAGCGTCACCACCTTTGCGTCCGAAGGGGATTGGGGGCAAGGGTTACCATTACATTTGACACGTTTCCCGTAAAGATTTTAATCGTGAATATTTGTTTCCGTCACCCACAATTCACGATGCGTGCGTTGCGAGTGCAGGAATTCCAAGTGGCAGCTTCCTCTGAAAGGGAAGATCAGGTCACACCCTAGGAGTGGTGTCATAGCAACATCTACTCACCGTCACCAACCTCTGGGGTCCTTACTGGTAAAGCCCCCCAATCGAAACCCCCTTCGCTGGGGTCCCTCTCCTGGAAAAAGTCCCAAGCAAGTCCCCTTCGTAGGGTTCATCCCTCCTGGAAAGCAACCGAGCCCCATTCCTATCCTCCAAAATCTCGACAGTAACGGTCAATCTGGCGCACCCATGAGGCCCGTGGCTGACCCTCCTGGCCTCCTCATCCAGCCCACAAGGTTTTCTAAGCATAGATAACCTAGGGAGGAAAGATAGTCACATGGCCAAAGTGCCAGTGCTGGCATTCATACCTCATCTGACTATGGGCGAGACACAAAATCATCCAGTCAGTACCCAAGTTTCGAGAGAAACCTGGTAAACAATGGCGTTCACAGCTGGGCACCCAGTGATTTCCTTGAACGTCCACATCTTGGCTCGATAGAGCAAAGCAGAAACGCAATAGAACACACACAGCTCCGTCCTTCTCCCCCGCATCATTCTTGCTGGTGCCACTGCCACCGCCGCAGACGAGAGCATTCCCAGCAGTCCGGATTGCCGGAAGGGATCACTCCAGAATTCACTGGGAAGAAACCAGAGGTACTTCGACCACACTTCAGAGCACTCGCAGTTCACGAATAAGAGGCCAGCCATCAGATAAACAACCTTTGCCGGAATTCGACAGGGTCGCTGGCACTCCCAGGACGTGGGCGTCCTGATGCGCCGAATTGATCGCCTTCTTCGGATCAACGTGGGCTGCAAGCAAGCTTTTTTCCACAACTCCCAAAAGGCACTCACAACAAGGACACAGAAGTGCTAGCGCACTAGCACTTCTGTGTCCTTGGTGGCGAGATATTAACCACCTCGGCTGCTTCAAAGGAATTCACGGGTGCAATCCCCGATCCTGACACCTGCCGTATATTTGGAGTTTGCGTGTCTCTCTCCCCGTGGTCGAGTGGAGTATTTGGCTGCTATAAATTGCCACATGATGATAAGACACTTTTTTCAGCTATCATTTGTGGCCAGGTCGCTTCTGAAAAAGAGCTGTGTAGCTCAGTGGGTCTCACCTGGTAAAATATAGTTTAGTTTAATGTAGCGAGGCTTCGGTCCGAACACCTCAAGTTACGGACCAAAGCCAGACCTGTTTGAGCAGCTGAATTAACAGATGATCGCAGACCCTTGCCAGATGCACATATGGCAAAAGCTTGCAAGGCACTGAGAGCACAATAACAAGGTGGTATTTGTACAAGTTTATGCTGGTCATCCTTGCTCAACGGAATGGTTATCATTTCAGAACAGCTGGAATGATACTAGACTGCCCGACTGCTCACAGGATTACTAGAAACCTATCCACTATCTATCGGAAGTTACAGAAGGGATGCCTCAATCAGCACAATGAACCTGACATCTTGGAGCCAAGTCTTGGGACTCTCAAACTCTATCTAACCCATTATCACCACCTTTAACTGTATACACCAATTTTTTATTGTTATGGAACATTATAACCCCGTTCAGTGCTGCCACATATAAATGCTTTGCCTATCGGCCTATTAGCTTTCCAATCCAATATTATCCAGATTTCCCAAATTAAATAGACGCTGCGAAATAAAAATAGTCTGGAAAACCAGAAGGCCAATGGAACAAAAGAACACATTTGATTTATATATGGAAGCACAGAACGGAGTTCTGTATAAATACATTGAACAACCAAGTCGTTTAGAATTGAAACTAAGGTTAAACGTGTACAGCAATTCACAACTCCCATCCATTCCGCATTTGAGTAGTTACCTTGTGTAGCCGTGTGAAGATCGCCTGCTTCCCCGCGATCACGCTGCTGCTGAACGGCGACTGCCGCAGATTCACACCTTGTTGCTGTGGCTCCTGATTCACACCTTGCTGCCGCGGCTGCTCCTGATTCTGAGATTGTTGCTGATGCTCCTGATTCACACCTTGCTGCTGCTGCTGCTCCTGAGGTTGTTGCTGCGGCTCCTGCTTCACAGCTTGCTGCAGCTGCTGCTGTTGCTTCAGAGCCTGCTGCTGCAGCTGCTGCTGTTGCTTCAGAGCCTGCTGTTGCTGCTTCAGAGCCTGCTGTTGCTGCTGCTGCTTCAGAGCCTGCTGCTGCTGCTTCTGCAACAAACTGAGGGATAGTGGCAGAGTGGGCCCTCTACTGCCGCCTGGCCTCGGTTGCTGCATTCTGGGCGTCGCCCCGGTGGTGCCGGCTGGCTTGAAGCGCTGGCGATAGTCGGCTTGCAGCTGTGCTGCATAGTCCGACAGCGCCGACTTTTGAACCGCTTCCCGCTCGCTCCCTGCCGCCGCTGCTGCAGCCAATGCTTTCGGAGGCGAAGCTGCAGACGGCGTTCCATGCTGCTTCTGTTGCTGCAGCTGTGGCTGTTGCTGCGGCTGGGTCTGGCCCTGGGTGACGGCACCTTGCAAAATGGACACGAGGACCCCCACTCCCGATGGGTCGGTGCGTAACTGAGCCTCCACCATCTTCTCGAATTGCGCGCGGAGACGCTCCTCAGCTTGCGCCTGTGATGGTCAGAATGCAACTCTTGTTACATCTTAAGCCATGGAAAAATATAAAAACGGGTAGAGCTGCAGTTCGACAATTGCATTACCATGCCACTGCTGGTGGAACGGCCACCACAAGAGGGAGCTCAAGAGCACGTCAAGAAGGTACAGGTATCTACATCATTAGACCTCCTTTGCCAGTACCAAAAATGTAATAATAGGGGTTTCCCCTTTTTTTCTGGCAACAAAACTGAAACCTTTTTACAAGGATTCATGTCTGCATTAACCACAATACCTGCAGTCAAAATGCAAACAAAAAAAATACTATGATAATATATGCATTGTCCTTGAAACTGATTGGTCCACATCAATGCATATATTATATATATCATCATAGTAAGCTTTTTGTTTGCATTTTGACTGCAGGTATTGTGGTTAATGCAGACATGAATCCTTGTAAAAAGGTTTCAGTTTTGTTGCCAGAAAAAAAGGGGAAAACCCCTATTATTAAGGTACAGGTAGTCCTCGACTTACGATGGAGATGCGTTAAGACGACCCCATCGTAAGTCAAAAATATCGTAAGTCGATGATGGTCTTAGCCTACCCAGGAGTCTTAAAGAATGGCGATAATTTAGCAAAAAAGGGCAATTTACAGTACCATACTGTATAAACTATATACTGTATGCATTTATTAATTACAATACTGTGTCGCTCAGTAAAATGTAAAGTAAAAAAACAAGGTAAATTCTTAGCCTACCTATATGAACTGCAATTTAATAGAAAGTTTTTTCAGGAAACAATCCTATCTGCTATAAAAAAACTTTTAACGTGCATTAAACGTATCGTATCGTGGTAACCCTAAAATTAAATCGCTAAAGCTACGCATCATACATGCATTGAACGTATCGTTCGCTGCTGCTTTTTGCCTGCCGCGCGAAATTAAAAATACTTTACAATTTTGTCGTATCGCTATCGCCATCGAAATATCTCTTCTGTCATACTCCTCTTGGCAGAGGTGGTAGAACCCACACTTCACCCCACCACTCATGACCTTCCGATTAATTGTGGTTGTACCCATTTGTACCGCGAGGTCAGGGGTTGACGGCGACCTGCGGCTCCAGAGCCGCCTACCTGGCTCTGTAAGGGCCGCTTCGTGACGTTATTTATTCAGGGACGCCGTCTCGCAATTCACATTGCGGCTCTTGAATTATTGAGTTTTCTTGTTCACCGAATTTTAAACATATACATAGAGATAGTCCCCGAGTTACGATGGTCCGACTTACGATATTTCGATCTTACGATGGCGATAGTGGTACGACACAATTCTATTAAATTGCAGTTCATATAAGTAGGCTAAGAATTTACCTTGTTTTTGTTTACTTTACATTTTACTGAGCAACACAGTATTGCAATTAATAAATACAGTATATAGTTTATACAGTACGGTACTGTAAACTGCTGTTTTGCTAAATTATCACCATTCTTTAAGACTCCTGGGTAGGCCAGGCCATCGTCGACTTACAATATTTTTGACTTACGATGGGGTTGTCGGAACGCATCTCCATCGCAAGTAGAGGACTGCCTGTACATGGCTCTTCTTGTTATTGTGGTTGCTGACCGCTGCGCTTAGGTGGACAGAGGGCTGGGGCATTCCAGAAACTCTCCCAATGCTTCGACAGTCACGCCGGTAGATCGAATCAACCTGTGACCTCTGGATTGACAGTCCAGTGCGCTATCACCCCATAGCAGCATCCCACGTAAAAAGGCAGTGTGTACGTACTCAGGGTGGTGCAGGTTGCACTGTGCTGATGAAATTACCAGTCCACCATTTGCTTGATTACAGTGCTCATGGAACCACAATGGTACAAAAGCCCCCGCGCAAAAGTCTGAGGACCCAAATATTGCTGTTTTCATTTTCACGCGCTGAGACAAGACCCTTGTATTTACATTTTACTTCAGTTTATTTCTAGGTCGTGACATAAAGCTAGATGGCAGCACGGTCAGTGGGTGTTTAAACTCATACGTATGGACCTCTGAGTGTTATAATCAGGTTTCTCCTACGCCGAAACATCGGAAATGCTTATCAGAAACGGCGAAACAGCACAATGCAGAAGACTGCTTAAAAATCAGTCTTTTGAGACCAAGGCTTTCCTGGATAATTAATATCATGTTAAACGTATTCAGGTGGCACCAACCTGATTTTCTGCCGCAGCCTTGTTTCCCGTGCCACTCTGATGCACCTGCAGCTGTGCTTGCACCATCGCCTGCAGATGCTCCTGGAGCTGGCTCTCCAGCTGGGATCGGAGATCGCTCGTTGAATTAACCGACGACTGCTGAGCTCCCACATCCCCGACACTTCCTCCTCCTCCTCCTCCAGCGCCTCCAGAATTTCCTCCAAAACCGCCGCCAACATTGCCTACCCCGGGTTTACATCCGCCGTCGTCGCCGGCGTTGTTGGAAGGCCCAGCACCGGCGGGCTTCTGCGAACGGACAAACTGAATGGGCTCGAAGCGCGGCCGATACGTCGCTTGCGGCGCCGCGGTGGCTTTCTCGCCGTCGGTGCCGGCACCGGTGGGCGACTCGACCGATGCCAACCTCGCTTTTTTTTCCGACGTGACCGAGTCGCTTGGCTCCGAGTTCCCGCAGCCGCCGCCAGATGCCGGTTCTTCTGCTACATGTAGCAGGGACGGAGACAAAGCGCAACAGCGGCAATGCGCGAGGATTAAACTTGCAATCGCGTCACTGCACCGTTTTTGGCCACGATGTGAACGTTTTAAGAAAATTGTTTAAAATGCTGGGATAAAGAGAGTAGAAGATAAGGCTCACCGGGTCGTTTAAGTGCGGAGATAGGCTGACCGAGAACATTGAACCTAGGGCCTTGGTCAACTTCAATTCCCTTTGCCATCTCAGTCACCTTCTTCATCAGCTCTGAGTTGTACCTGACATCATCATGAGCAGAAACGTTGCCTTTGTTATCATCATCAGCGGCAGCATCAGTATTAATTTAAAGAGCACAGCTCTAACATCTCAAGAAACGTGCCGACTGCTCACGCAACCTACTAGCAGTGTGCGAATCACAGTTTGGGAGCTGATGGCTGAAGACATTAGAGCAAAGTACCATCCACGTGAATATTCTCTGCTCACAAATTTTCTTTAAAGCAAGTGGTGGAGAACATTTTCCTTTCACGCGCTTTTGCGCTTACGAAAAGCGAGTGCTCAAAAATGTAGAAATACAGTGTTGCCGGGTGATAAATAAAATATCCCCCACCAGTATCCAGTGCGGCTAAGATGCTTAAAGTGACGGATAAATATCGCTTGCAGGCCGTTTCAAAGTGGGAGGCCTCACGTGGCTACAGGCCGTATGAAATGAAGTTGAATACCATAACTGGCCCATGGAACAGAGGTAGCCCACACCTGACAAGCCGGAGGGGACCTGACAGCACAGCCGGGGTCAGGCACGCTTGAAGTAGGCTGTGTCCCTAGTCAGTATTAGTGGTGACCTGGTGTGTTGTAACAAAGAAGTTGCCTCCACAAAGTGTCTCCGGGAACCCATTACATTTGGTCTCACGTAAGTCCAAGGGTGGGTTCACACTGACATTTAGACTTGCCTACGTTAAGCGAAATGTGTCCGCAACACCACAGTGGGACTTCACGTTAAAGCCACTTGGTATGTCGCATGGTGGGTTTTTAACGATTGGCTCCATCCGCTCACTCAGCTGCACCCCGATTGGCCGCCGATTCAAATCACGCTATAGAGTTCAACCAACGTTTCCTGCTGCCGCCCATACTGGACATCTGTGACAAAAAGTTTCACAGCTCATCGGATTCCTCCAGTCGAAATTAAGATTTTGATTCAAAGATTCTGACACTCAGAATGTCGCATGATGGGTTTTTAACGATTGGCTCCATCCGCTCACTCAGCTGCACCCCGATTGGCCGCCGATTCAAATCACGCTATAAAGTTCAACCAACGTTTCCTGCTGCCGCCCATTCTGGACACCTGTGACAAAGAGCTTCACAGCTCATCGGATTCCTCCAGTCGAAATTAAAAATTCTGATTCAAGATTCCGACACTCGGAAAGAGGGGTTACAACCCAGAACCGATCTCCCAAAAAAGCCAGATTTAAACTGCAAAAAAAAATTGCAAAACACGGCACAAGAACCCCTGACCGCACCTGCACCCCAGGAAGATGTGGTTGGCCCAAACCATGGAGAGGGAGACGAGCCGATCCAGGTCGTCCCCGCGGAATCGCTCGAGGTTCTGTGACAGGAATCGCCGTCGCGCCTGCCATTCCTTGCCGCTCTCTTGGGGGAGTTTCAGCGAGTCGAGCAGCGCGCCGTCTTCCTCGCCGTCCTCTCGCTCACCATCCCGCTCGCCGACTCGCTGAAGGTCCTGCTTGTCATCCCGCTCGCCCGCCATCGTGGGAGGGTGAAGCTGTCTCTCTGTGTCTTCACATCACCGCAACGGCATCATCACTTAGCACTGCACTTGTTATCGCACCGCTAAATGAACGAGGAAGCGCAGTTTAACCGAGCACTGTACATAGATGGCGCGCGTAACGTATCGCTTTGTAACGAATATAATTGCTGAATTGGTTACATTGTAACTAGCAGTATGCGCGTTGTTTGTACGTACGCATGTTGAACTTCTTTCGCACAGTACGTAGCTAACCGTGAAAATCGGAAGGTACGGGGGAAGGACGACAAACTAAAACATAAAATTACGTTTCAAAGAAACGAGTATTCAGTCTAATTGGAGTTTGCATTTTATGCCCGTGGTCGCGTGAATTTTGATCCGGGTCCTCCGGTTTTCCCCTCCACATTTACAATAAACATCGCGGGTTTAGAGTATTTGACTGCTGTACATTTCCACGTGATAAGCCACTTCGTTTAGCTATCATTTGTGGCCATGTCGCTTCTGAAAAAAGAGCTACACTATACAGCTCAGTGGGCCTTACGTGGTCAAATAAATAGTACTATATTAGTAGTCTCAACGGGTTCCAAACCTGGTTGAAATGTATGAATGACTGACACACACACACTGCTTTATGATACCCTATCTATAATACATACGGAATCAAATCCTTCAAAGATTGATGCAGTATAATCGCTACTGTACTCTATACGATAGTGACTTAGTGAACGTCTTATAAAAGTTATATACAGTATACACACAATAACAGATGTTATCTCTTTTATAACAACGGTTTAACATTGTAAAAAGCGAATGTTGAACAAGTTCTACGCTTTAAAGCTTTCGTGACTGCAAGGATTCATCTTCTTTGGTTCTTTCGGTAAGGTCACGTAGAATGAGAATAAAATAAGGAAATAACACAATAAAATTCTCACGACGGCCGCTTGCGTTGCGGCCGAAACGTCGCGAGAATTTTATTGTGTTATTTTATTATTTTATTCTCATTCTACGTGACCTTACCGAAAGAACCAAAGAAGTTCTAAACTGCATAACCAACAACACACGTCAATGTTATCACACTGTAAAACGGCACTGTACGGCGACCAGGCCTCTTCGCCAATTCAACTCTTGGCTGTTCGAAGTTAACCGACCATACTTCACCACCCTGGTCAGTGCGTGTTGGTGAAAGGAGGGGGGGGGGTGAGAGAGAGAAAGAACGCAATCCGGGGCAATTTTCGTGACGATTTTGTGTAAATTGTTAAGCCGGCAGGCGCGTTTGAAGGTCTCGTGTGAGCTGAGGCTATTTTTTTTGACAGCTTCCGACGGGCGTAGGGCGCTGTACGCTCGTACGGAAGCGTACCCGGTCTAAAAAAAAACACACAAAAAAGCGTTGCCACGGCACGGCAATCGTCTCGGAACGTCGACAAACGCAAGGCGCGATTGCGTTTTAAGCCTCGGCGCGGCCTTCAAAGCTGAACGCTCGCCCGCCCGCCCGCTCCGGACACACCACACGTTGCAGCATCCCAATTCAAACGTTCGCGGCAACTTTATTCATTTAGCGGCACAAAAAAAAACCCACCCTCCATAGTCTAGACGCGCGCAATTAACGGCTAACAGCAATGACGATTACAATATTTGTTTTTTTTAAACCCCCGCCCGCAACGGTTGTGAAAACGTCGCCTCAGTGGAGCCCTGCACGGGGCCTAGGCCCGCAACGGGGCCTACCGCTATCCTACATTAAATAATTAATTTTAAAACCCCCGAATCTCCTCACCTCAGGCGGACGAGCGCCTTAAGATCTCCATGCCGTCGTCGTTTGGCGTGAGGAGGGCGGCGGGAGACGAGGATCTTCCGTTTTGAAACACAAAAAATGTAAACGGTGAGTGCGTAAAAATAAAAAAAAACGTGTAAAGTTTTACAAAACAGTTCCCTCGGAAATCGCCGCCACCGCCGCCACTCCAAGCAACACCGAGCAGCTCGGCGAGACGCAAAAAACGAAATGGCGCCGGCTCGAAGCCGCCTTGCAAATCGACCGCCGATCAATCGATCGCCGCCGTCGATCGCGCCTCTCGGGGCTCGATTAGTGCGGTCTAGTCGGCGGGGTGGGGTGGGGTGGGGTTGACGGTGATTGGATGGAGGGGGGGAGGGTGTGTCAGGTTGCGTGCCCCTGATTGGTGGACGACGCGTGCACGCGACCCGGGTGGGCGGGGCCTCCTGGTAATTCTAACAAACCACCTGACGATATAAGTCGTAATAAAATCTTGATTTTAAGCTTTCGCGACTGCAGGAATACCCCATACTCTTTGGGGTAAAGTCACGTAGGTAGGAAAATAATAGATCACGACGTTTCGATCGCAACACAAGCGCTCGTCATCAGGTGGGACAACAGTTAAACACGTGGCCTTTCGCGACCAATAGCATCCACACTATAGGGTCGTTTTTTTTTTGGGGGGGGGGGTTAGATCATGTAAATATAAATGTGTCGTTAAACCCGCCACCACCCGACGCAGCCAATCAGTAAGGTTTGTCACGTAAACAGAACGTGGCCAATTCGTTACTAGTACAGCACAAGTGTATAGTGACGTGTATAGTAGTGTCGTGTATAGTAGTGTAGTGTATAGTAGTGTATAGTAGTGTAGTGTATAGTGTAGTGTATAGTGTAGTGTATAGTGAAGTGCATAGTAGTGTAGTGTATAGTGTAGTGTATTATTAGTGCACCACACCGGTGTGTTGAAGAGCCAAGCCACAACATTTACAATCTGAGTACGACGTTTCGCCAGTAATCACAACTAGCTTCATCAGTCCACAGCCAGATTTGTGGAGAAGTCATTCTGTTTCATTACGTAATATTGTAAAGGGTTTTTTTTTTGGGCGGGGGGGGTACGTATGAATGTTGTCAGTTTAACACGTAGGCTTTCGCGATCAATGTTGTCCATAATTTGTTACTACTGAACTAGTAAAGGTTTTTTTGGGTTAGATCGTGTAAATGTGTCGTTAACCCGCCACCACCCGACACAGCCAAATTGGTCATGGTTTGTCACGTAAACAAAACGTGCAAATCAGTTACTTACTTCAGCAGTAAAACCCACTTCTTCACAATTCTGGAAAATCGCCTTATGATGTTATCCACAATTAAGGGGTTTTTTTGGGGTTAATATAAATGCGTCAGTTTAACACGTAGGCTATCGCGACCAATATTATCCATAATTCGTTACTAGTTCAGTAACGAATTATGAATAAGTAGTTCAGCACACCAGTGTGCTGACTTTAGTGGAGTCATGGTATCTTGATATAAAGTGGACCAGGTGGTCAACTTTATACCTACCCCTACCCCTTTCACTACCCTTATCACTACCCCTATCACTGCCCCTACCAATACCCCTCTCACTACCCCTATCACTACCCCTATCAATACCCCTACCCCTTTCACTACCCCTCTCACTACCCCTACCCCTCTCACTACCCCTATCACTACCCCTACCAACACCCCTACCCTTTTCACTACCCCTATCACTACCCCTACCCCTTTCCTACCCCTATCACCACCCCTATCAATACCCCTACCCCTTTTACTACCCCTATCAATACCCCTACCCCTTTCACTACCCCTCTCACTAGCCCTACAAATACCCCTACCCCTTTCCTACCCCTCTCACTACCCCTACCAATACCCCTACACCTTTTACTACCCCTATCACTACCCCTACCCCTTTCACTACCCCTCTCACTACCCCTCTCACTACCCCTATCACTACCCCTCTCACTACCCCTACCAATACCCCTACCCCTCTCACTACCCCTTTCACTACCCCTATCACTACCCCTACCCCTTTCACTACCCCTATCACTACCCCTCTCACGACCCCTACCAATACCCCTACCAATACCCCTACCCCTCTCACTACCCCTACCAATACCCCTACCCCTTTCAATACCCCTCTCACTAGCCCTACAAATACCCCTACCCCTTTCCTACCCCTCTCACTACCCCTACCAATACCCCTACACCTTTTACTACCCCTATCACTACCCCTACCCCTTTCACTACCCCTCTCACTACCCCTCTCACTACCCCTATCACTACCCCTCTCACTACTCCTACCAATACCCCTACCAATACCCCTACCCCTCTCACTACCCCTTTCACTACCCCTATCACTACCCCTACCCCTTTCACTACCCCTATCACTACCCCTCTCACTACCCCTTCCAATACCCCTACCAATACCCCTACCAATACCCCTACCCCTCTCACTACCCCTACCAATACCCCTTTCACTACCCCTACCCCTTTCTCTCACTACCCCTACCAATACCCCTACCCCTTTCACTACCCCTACCCCTTTCACTACCCCTCTCACTAGCCCTACCAATACCCCTACCCCTTTCCTACCCCTCTCACTACACCTACCAATACCCCTACCCCTTTCACTACCCCTATCACTACCCCTACCCCTTTCACTACCCCTCTCACTACCCCTATCACTAACCCTCACCCTACCCCAACCCCTCCTTAACCTCTCCCGCCTGTTCTCCTGTCACCAAAACTACACCACAACTTTCACCAAAATCCCGCTCTTTGTCGCAACCGCTATCATCCCATAATTGTTGCGAAACGCCTTGGATGAAGGCACTCTATATATACACATCTGCATTGGATAATATTCGCCCTCTCTTGTTGATGTCCTTTATTTCATCAGTGCGAGCTCTGTTTAAGATTCATTATTCACACGTGTCAATGTCGCCCCTTTATTTTTTGACGTCCCTCAATTTTAATCACGCGAGAGCCCTTTGGGATTCGCTTTTACATCTTGTATTTAACTAAGGCGAGAGCCAATTTAGATGAATTGGCATTGAGAGCAATGACCTGCATTTAACCCGATTGGAGTGCATTGAGTTGCAGCGTCTCTTTGTGATATCCTCTGTACGCAGGACTTTCGAATACTTTTGGGTGTGGCCAAACATTCGTTGACAACTAATTTTGACTTCGCTTCGACTGCATGCTTCCACCGTGCATTCACAACTACTTAAAAGACGAGGCGACGAGGGAGCTAAAAGTAGCGTTGCTGTCACGATGCTCGCAGTAGTGGATAGATTGGGACGATCCGGTGGCGATATGTTAACTACCTCGCCTGGAGGTCGTGGGTTTGATCCTGACCCCAACGCCTGTATATTTGGAGTCGACTTTTTCTCTCTTATCTCTCTCTTCCCCCGTGGTCGCGTGGATTTTTCTCCAGGTCCTCCGGGTTTTCCCTCTGCATTTAGAAACATGCGTTTAACGTATTTGGCTGTGGTACATTTCGACGCGATAAGCCACTTTGTTGCGCTGGTCAGGACGCTTCTGAAAATACCTATATAGCTCAGTGGGCCTTAACGGTAAAATAACACATTTAGATAATGGGTCGTTTGAGAGTGGTAGGCTGCACACGTGGCTATGGGCCATGTGAATTCATGGACCATGCATTCCCAAACCTATCTTAAAGGTTACCAGTAGTGTAAGCAATTTGATAAGGCAGGTGGCACAAAAAGGATTAATTAGTGGCCATATGGTACTAGTCAACGGACCATCATAAGCTACACGCATAAATGCAACCAATATTGAGAATAACATCGTAAACAAATAAAATCAGAAAGAATATCTCCCATGAAGTTATGTTTATTAGCAAAACCAATGACAGAGAACTTATACTTACAGTGCACAGTTCAGGAGACGAGAAAGGAATAATTTTCGTCCTGAGTTCTGTTCTGGATGGTCGTGTGGTGATTGTGTATCACTCACACTTGATACATGACTATGAAACCCTGGCTTTCCGCAAATATCTTGAACCACAGATCCCTAGCGTGGCCACGAGAGATTCTATTGGCATTCGCTCTCCAACAAATATCTTGGAAGCTAAGCACAACCGGGCATGGACAGTGCTCAGATGAGCAACTAATATGCACACCAGGTTGCCACAGTCGGCTGCAGGGCCATGTGGTAGTCAGTGCAGTAAAATTCACGGTTATTTTGTACTTTTATTTGCTCCCCACCTTTCCACAAGACCAGCGTGGTAAAGTATGGGTAAATAACCTCACAATCCGTATGGCGTGCAGAGGCCAAATCCAGCGGTGGATTGATAAAGTGCACGACATGTACTTGATAAGCTGTGAAGCTACTATGGCAGCATGGCCAGCAGGTTTCTGACAGGCCTTCTGTGAAGCAGAATTTCAGCGTGGCTGCGCACATCTCTTGAGGATATTTGTCCTATTCTTCCACACTGGTCAGATGTCTTGGAAGAGTAAACTTTTTTTTATTTTACCAGGTAAGGCCCCACTGAGCTATACAGCTTTTTTTCTCAGAAGTGACCTGGCCATCATCAAATGATAGCTCAACGAAGTGGCGTATCACGTGGACATTTATAGCAGCCAATTACTCTAAAAGCATGTGGATTCTAAACGTGGAGGGAAAAACCGGAGGACCTGGAGAAAAATCCAAACGACCACGGGGAGATAGAACGTGCACACTCCAAATATACAGCAGGCGTCAGGGTCAAGATCGAACCCACGACCTCCTGTACACCTGGCGAGGTAGTTAACATCTCGCCACCGTGGCGGCCCTGAGTAGGGGATAGCCACAGTTTATTTCACCACATGCAACCTGACGATCAACCATGGTGTATCCATTTATGCTGCTTGCTGGACAGAGGTGGGTACTTTAAGAAACTGGCGCCATTGTTTCAACTGACGCGTCGTGGGATTGAATCGAACCGGCAACCTGTAGATTGTAAGTCCCATGTGCTCTTACACCTTGGCAGCATTCCACTCTGGTACACTCACAAACAAAGCAAGACTACTCGAAAGAAGCCATTCGCCAAATAACCCAAGCAAGCAGGACTCGGGGAGAATTTTCTGGTTGTCAATATATTACAACGAAGACAATAATACAACCGTGTAGGTTTTCGTGATTGTGTTGTACAGCTCTCCGATATTTTTGGGTTGTAGCGCATGTTATTTCGCGTGATGCCCGACGTTTTAGTGCGACACAATCTGAAAACACATCTGAGAGGTGTATGATGATGTTGACAATGACAACGATGATGTGTTCATCTGGGAGAACTTGAATCTTGGTTAGGACATTCTTCCCAGAATGGCTTTGGGGAAACCCGGTCGCAGGCGAAGGGAGCTGAGCGGAGACATTCAGCAGGGACGGGCGAGAGTCACGTTAGGGGGCGGCCTCGTTCTCGGCGCCCAGGAAAGGTCACGAACTCTGCCCACCCCCCCCCCCCCGTCGGGGAGCCCGCCACCATCCTCACTCCTTGAGATCCTCCAGCGCCTGCCGCTCAACCTCGGCGCGCAGGTGTGAGCGGCGCTGCAGGTAACGGTAGACACGCGCGCTGCACAGGTACCCGCCGTACACAGTGAGCAGCATCATGGAACCCGAGAAGATGCGGTATCCCACGTCCACCAACTTCTTGCCACCGCCCGCCATGCTCTCTGCGCAACAAAAAAAAAATGCATAGCCACGTGTGAATGACAGCTCAACGCCCCCTGCACTGCCCACTTCGATCATTCGCGACTGACAGCGTATGTTTGCCAGGCTGTCCCTGTAGAAGTCCACTAGCTCTCTCACCAAACTCTGTGGCCGTCTGGTTCGTTCTTCCTTCTGATACTAGGAAGCCACTGAAGCTCTCCACTTTTAAATAATCTAGTTTGAAAACTCATTTCTTTAGGGAACAGCTCTTTGTGTTTAGTTGGCTGTCCTTGCCCCGCACCTAAGATTAGCACAGTTGGCTACATACGGTGCAAAAAAAATCCAACATACGTACGTACATAGAAACTCGATGCGAACATGTAAAAACTGCCGACCAACTCCCCTGCAACATGAATCTTACTAACCACTTACCCTACACCCCGAATGCGAATCGTAAACTCTAAACATAATCCTGAACTTTACCCGTAACTCTATCGCTGAACCCATAAGCATGTTCCTAAACCGCAAACTCTTATCCTCAAACCCCTAACCCTTAATCTTAACACTAAACCCCGGATAAAAAAAAAAATCTGCGGGAACTACTTATTGTTATGAAACGGTTATTCTGACGATTGCGGCTCGTTACAAATCTGCAATATCTTGATTTGAAGCTTTCGTGACTGCAGGAATCCATACTCTTTGGTTCTTTCGGTGAAGTCACGTAGGTAGAAAAATAAAATTAAAATAATATATCACGACGTTTCGATCGCAACACAAGCGATCGAAACATCGTGAGAAATGTTTTATTTTTCTACCTACCTTACTTTACCGAAAGAACCGGAGCGTAAATCTGCAATACGCAACCACTCCACCAGACGGCGCCCGTACCAATTAAAAACCCCGCAAACCCAGAGTGCGTGACAAAATAAAAACACACGTGCCCCGGTGAAACACAAACACACACGCGCGAATTTGAACAGTTAAGAAAATTAACACCAGTGATGAGAGGCAATGTTTAAAATTTTATGACAATTACTTGCAACACGGCGTCCAATAACGTCAGTGTTAAAACAATAACTAAAAAAATGCTTACTCACTGTGACTTTAAGGAAACGTCTTGTTGGTAGCAGGGGAAACCGTGCACTGAAAGGCAATAACAATAACAGATTTGAAGTTTTCGTGACTGCAGGGATCCATACTCTTTGGTTCTTTCGGTAAAGTCACGTAGGTTTTAAATAAAACAAATCAAATCACGACGTTTCGATTGCAACACAGGCAATCATCGTCATCAGGTGGGAAAGCCACGGCTCCTGGTGACGATTGCTTGTGTTGCAATCGAAACGTCGTGATTTAATTTATTTTATACCCACGTGACTTCACCGAAAAGAAACCAAAGAGTAACAATAACAGAGTTATTGGTTTACATTATCCAAGTGATAAGCCACTGTCGTTGAGCTACCATTTGTGATAGTCGAGTTGCCTCTGACAAAGCGACACATCGCAGCTCAGGTGGGGGGCCTTACACCTGGCACAATAAAACAAAGTTTAACCTCGAACAACAGCGGATTTGGGCGTATCAGAAATCTTTGCGTGATTCACCAACCCTTGCCTTGATGCGCCGAATTACACGGGCGGCTCAATGTCTCGAGCTGAGCGTGTCGATGCCTCGTCTGCATTCCCTGTCAACCCATTCGGTTTAGCCCGTATTCTTGTACAGAGGAATTGCCTTTTCAGATCCATACGATGACGTACAGCCGTTATCAATGCGGGCAAACCACAGCACCTGATGACAGACGTAAAAAAAAATGTCTTGATTGTATTCTTGGTTCTTTCGGTAAAGTCACGTAGAAGTGAAACAATAAAATAATAAAAATATAAAACAATACAATTCTCACGACGTTTCGACTGCAACACAAGCAATCATCATCAGGTGGGTTTCACACCTGATGATGATTGCTTGTGTTGACGATTGCTTGTGTTGCGGTCGAAACATCGTGATACTTTTATCCTTTTATATTTTTTTATTGTTTCCTTTCTACGTGACTTTATCGAAAGCACCAAGAATATGAATCCCTGCAGTCACGAAAGCTTTAAAAAATGCATGTTTGTGTTTCTCCCTCGTGGTGGGACTTTGTAGGATGAACGTTGAGATTTATAAGCGGCCAGGGGTGACCACGAATAAGGTCTGCATTGGTCTGTGATAAGGTAGTGGCATTAAATCAGGGGTTGACGGCTATGAGTTAGTGGAGTGGAGAGTCCGTGGCGCGCGTGAGACCCATTTAGTGACAGCGTTGTGGCGTTGTGGAGAAACTTTGGCGTTCGTGTTTGGCGACAGGTGACGGGCGAGCGAATGGCGAGGACAACTGCTCTGGTACCCCCTAACCTGTCAACCCATTATCAGTGCCTATCTCATTGCAGACCAAAACCAAATGTACAGGATCATAATACGTACCTGTCAACCCATTATCAGTGCCGAGATTATTACAGAACAATTCAGACCTCATTGGTCACCCCCGTGCCCCTTATAAATCTCATCCTACAAAGTCCCATCACAAGGAGAGAAACACAGACAAATAGACGAAAAAACATTGATGTTGCCCGTATTGAAACGGCTGTTACGCCGTAAGGGCATGAAAACTCACATTTCCCTGTACACGAATAGGGGGCAAACCGTATGGGTTGACAGGTATGGGTACCTCTTTTTAAAAAAAAATAGCAATCCCTCGCAAGCAGAAGTCATTAGAGTCGCTACTGTCACCGTAAGAGCGCGAGGCATGAACGATCTGCAATAGTACGGGGCAGCCTCCTCCCCCCCCGTTGCCTAAACAGCAAAGCCGGGAGCCTAGCGTAGGCCCACGGTTAACTCTCCATGTCCGACAGGGGTAAAAGCTACGAGACCGACAACTTTTTTTATTGGCGTCAAATTAGTTATATATAATGATGCGTGGCGATAGAGTAAACGGTGCTACGCTGGAGAATGGTAGTTGAACGTACATTTCGTAAACAATTATAAAGAAATGGAAGTTAAAGCGCCTTAAGTTTACGCGCAACACACGCTTACCTCCAGCGGTCACCAAGAGAGCTCGCGTCTGATTGGCTCCTCAGCGCGCCCCGCTTCCCCCATGTAAGCCGTGCGCCCATTGGTCAATCGAGACGAGAGCCAGGCCCACTTCGTGTGAGTCTATGTCATCGATGTGAGGCTGTTGTGTAAAGAAGAGTCTTCGTCCGAAACGTCGTCTATTATAGACGTATTCCTTTGAAGACACCGCACAGTATGATTGAGTTTTTTAATTTGTTAATTGAGGTGTGACGTGATGACGTCACCCAGATACAATAGCAATTTGGAGTGTTGCGCGATGACGTAATGTAGACACAACAGCCGGTTTGGCATGACGTGACGACGTCACCTATATACAACAGCAAGTTGGAGTGTTGCGCGATGACGTCATTTAGACACAACAGCCGGTTTGGCATGCGACGTGATGGCGTCACCGGCGAGGGAGCGAGCCTTATTTGGCGTCTTCAGAAGAACCACGTTCTTTATATGGCGTGCGAGATGACGTCTCACGACAACCATACTATATTCTTAGTTTTTTCGGTAAAGCCACGTTGTTATTTTGTTGTTTCTCTTCAACGTGACTTTACCGAAAAAACTAAGAATATGAATTACTGCAGTCACGAAAGCTTTAAATCAAAAGACAACCATACTCTTTATTAGACGTGCGCGAAGACGTCATCAGAAGACTCACGCTCTTTACATGCTCTTTACATGGCGTGCGTGATGACGTCATAACTCAATCATACTGTGCGGTTTTTTAATTTAATTGAGGTGTGAGTTGATGACGTCACCCAGATACAATAGCAATTTGGAGTGTTGCGCGATGACGTAATGTAGACACAACAGCCGGTTTGGCATGCGACGTGATGGCGTCACCGGCGAGGGAGCGAGCCTTATATGGCGTGCGTGATGACGTCTTCAGAAGATCCACGTTCTTTATATGGCGTGCGTGATGACGTCATCAGAGTTATCCACGCTCCTTATATGGCGTGCGTGATGACGTCACCGGCAAGCCACCTCCCTCCCTACCACCACCAACAGCAACAACTCCGTCCCCACGCGAGCTTCGCCATCCGTCGGCCACCGCCGCCACGGTGAAGATGGCAGCGGTCGGCCGCGTGATGTCGGAGCGACGCTGAAGGGGCCGGTAAGCGGAGAGCCTCGACGATGTTTGTATTTAGCCCACCACCACCATCATCATCACTGGCATCGTCGTCAGCCACAAGCTCCATCCACTGCTGGGTGTGGGAGGCCTCTCCCACAAGCCAGCTGGCGACTGCACAAAGATCCCCCGTGTAGCCTGTAACAGACTGTAGGGGCAAGTGCTGTTAGCGAGCAGCACCTATGAAGGCCGGTAACGGTACACGAGGGGATGGGTGGTCAGCACCAAGCCCGACCGCCTTTGTCTCCCCGGTGGCGATGTTTACCACACACTGCACCAGGTACTCATTTCAGGCTGAGTCGACCTAGGGGAGGAGGCCCGGGACCGGTTCAGATAATCGTCACTGGGCGTTGGCCGTGAGCGGGAATCGAACTCGGTTCGCTGGGTTCGTAGCGCAGCGTAGCGCGCTAACCGCTGCACCACCGCTCCCCACTGTGCTATCCGCATACACACGCGCACACTTTACTACTGTGACATCGTGTTTAAATCAGCCCCAAGAAGCTTGATTCCATCTATCACTCGGCCTTAAGATTTACATCGAACTACCCATGTAGGACTCACCACTGTGATCTCTACATTGTTGTAAAACTTAACATCTCTTAATGTTCGACGGCTTGTGCACCAGATCTTATTTATTCACGATGCTCACAAACAAAATCCGCAGACCACCTGCTGCTGGATCTCCTCTCTGTTTCAAAGAACAAATTTGACCTCAGGTCTTCGCTCATTTACCAGTTTCACATTCCCCTATTGCCGTACAAAAACTGGAGGAAGGGCCTTTTGTTATTATTGATGCCCCCAGGGTCTGGAATGCTATTGCCAATAAACTGCAATTGAAATTGAAAAATAAACTGCAACTTGAATCACTACCAATGAGATTTTCACTCAAAACTGCTCTAGAGGAGTTGTACACCCCTAGCTGCCACTAACTATTCATTGGCGTAAAATAAAATAAAATGTTTCGCTCCGGATGAACCGCTGCAAAGTATTATTCTGTATTTTGATTAAGCGTGCTGATCTTAAAGGTGCATTGAAAAATTTGATACTCCGACCGATGCTTCTGTTGTTGTAGAACTAACTCATGCAGCCAGCTATGGCTCTAGGATTTGGTGTTACATGTTATTTATGTAGTTTATTGTAAAAATTCCGTCACAGTCCCTGTGATCACTGTTACGTTGCAATTATGGCTTTATTTTTTGGTGATTTCGAAAAGTTTTTTTGGTTTGGCCATGTTTGTTTTGTTGTAGTACGGAGTTAGACTGACGGCCTTAATCTAAGTTGTCTTGTGGTTGTTGTTGTTTGACTTTGCATCCCACTGGGATTTTTTGCACACAGCGTTGGTGGTGTACGGTGCTTTTTACAGGAATATTTTGATGTTTTTTCACACGCGCACACACACACGTGCGCACACACAGACACACACACGCGCACACACACAGACACACGCGCACACACACACAGACACACACACGCGCACACACACACACAGACACACACACAGACACACACACGCGCACACACACACACGTGCACACACACAGACACACACGCGCACACACACACGTGCACACACACGCGCACACACACGCGCACACACACAGACACACACACGCGCACACACACACAGACACACACGCGCACACACACACGTGCACACACACACGTGCACACACACAGACACACGTGCACACACAGAGACACACACAGACACACACGCGGGGCGAAGCAATTATCGGCTCCATCTCCTCTGTGGTCAAACCGCGAAGCTTGCCCGGCTAGCCGTGACGCGTCCTGCCTCCAGCTGCACCTAACGGAGTAAACTACATTAGAGGTTGTGTTAGTGTTAGATCGCTTAAATATATGTGTCGTTAAACCCGCCACCACCCGACACAGCCAACTAGTAAGGGTTGTGTCACGTAAACAGAACGTGGCCAATTCGTCACTAGTACAGCACTAGTGTAGTGTATAGTGAAATGTATAGTGAATGGTATAGTGTAGTGTATAATGTAGTGTATAGTGTAGTATATAGTGAAGTGTATAGTAGTGTTGTGTATAGTGTAGTATATAGTGAAGTGTGTAGTGTATAGTGAAGTGTATAGTAGTGTAGTGTATAGTGAAGTGTATAGTAGTGTAGTGTACAGAGTAGTGTATAGTAGTGTTGTGTATAGTGTAGTGTATAGTGAAGTGTATAGTAGTATAGTGTAGTGTATAGTGAAGTGTATAGTAGTGTAGTGTACAGTAGTGAAGTGTACATAGTGAGGGAAAAAAGTATTTGATCCCCTGCTGATTTTGTACGTTTGCCCACTGACAAAGAAATGATCAGTCTATAATTTTAATGGCAGGTTTATTTGAATAGTGAGAGACAGAATAACAACAACAAAATCCAGAAAAAGCATGTCAAAAATTTTATAAATTGATTTGGATTTTAATGAGGGAAATAAGTATTTGACCCCTCTGCAAAACATGACTTAGTACTTGGTGGCAAAACCCTTGTTGGCAATCACAGAGGTCAGACGTTTCTTGTAGTTGGCCACCAGGTTTGCACACATCTCAGGAGGGATTTTGTCCCACTCCTCTTTACAGATCTTCTCCAAGTCAATAAGGTTTCGAGGCTGACGTTTCGCAACTCGAACCTTCAGCTCCCTCCACAGATTTTCGATGGGATTAAGGTCTGGAGACTGGCTAGGCCACTCCAGGACCTTCATGTGCTTCTTCTTGAGCCACTCCTTTGTTGCCTTGGCCTTGTGTTTTGGGTCATTGTCATCCTGGAATACCCATCCACGACCCATTTTCAATGCCCTGGCTGAGGGAAGGAGGTTCTCACCCAAGATTTGACGGTACGTGGCCCCGTTCATCGTCCCTTTGATGTGGTGAAGTTGTCCTGTCCCCTTAGCAGAAAAACACCCCCAAAGCTTAACGTTTCCACCTCCATGTTTGGCGGTGGGGATGGTGTTCTTGGGGTCATAGGCAGCATTCCTCCTCCTCCAAACACGGCGAGTTGAGTTCATGCCAAAGAGCTCCATTTTGGTCTCATCTGACCACAACACTTTCACCCAGTTGTCTTCTGAATCATTCAGATGTTCATTGGCAAACTTCAGACGGGCATGTATATGTGCATTCTTGAGCAGGGGGACCTTGCGGGCGCTGCAGGATTTCAGTCCTTCACGGCGTCGTGTGTTACCAATTGTTATCTTGGTGACTATGGTCCCAGCTGCCTTGAGATCATTGACAAGATCCTCCCGTGTAGTTCTGGGCTGATTCCTCACCGTGCTCATGATCATTGCAACTCCACGAGGTGAGATCTTGCATGGAGCCCCAGGCCGAGGGAGATTGACAGTTCTTTTGTGTTTCTTCCATTTGCGAATAATCGCACCAACTGTTGTCACCTTCTCACCAAGCTGCTTGGCAATGGTCTTGTAGCCCATTCCAGCCTTGTGTAGGTCTACAATCTTGTTCCTGACATCCTTGGAGAGCTCTTTGGTCTTGGCCATGGTGCAGAGTTTGGAATCTGATTGATTGATTGCTTCTGTGGACAGGTGTATTTTATACAGGTAACAAGCTGAGATTAGGAGCACTCCCTTTAAGAGTGCTCCTAATCTCAGCTCGTTACCTGTTTAAAAGACACCTGGGAGCCAGAAATCTTTCTGATTGAAAGATTAAAATGCAAATCAATTTATAACATTTTTGACATGCGTTTTTCTGGATTTTGTTGTTATTCTGTCTCTCAGTCTTCAAATAAACCTACCATTAAAATTATAGACTGGTAATTTCTTTGTCAGTGGGCAAACGTACAAAATCAGCAGGGGATCAAATAGTTTTTTTTCCCTCACTGTAGTGAGGTGTATAGTAGTGTAGTGTATAGTAGTGTAGTGTATATTAGTGTAGTGTATAGTGAAGTGTATGGTAGTATAAGTGTAGTGTATAGTGTAGTATACTAGTACAGCAACACCAGTGTGTTGGAGAGCCAAGCCACAACATTTACAATCCGAGTACGACGTTTCGCCAGTAATTACAACCAGCTTAAGGCGACAGCCAGATTTGTGAAGAATTCCTCCTGTTCCGTTCCTTAGAGGCATAGATGTTGTAACCACCCTTCTGCGCTCTCCAACACACAACGGGTGTGTGAGCTGTACTAGTGACGCATTGGCCACGTTCTGTTTACGAGACACAACCCTTGCTAGTTGGCTGTGTCGGGTGGTGGCGGGTTTTAACGACACATATTTACGCGATCTAACCCCAAAAAAACCTTCTTATGGATGATATTGGTCGTGTTAAACGGAGTGAATTCTGTCTCTGTCTGTGTGGTAGTCTCCCCCCCCGCCGCCCGCGCTCCCTCATCAACCTCCCTAATCGGAACCTCCCGATTAGCGCGGTTGGCTACGTACGGCGCGAAAGAAGTTCAACGCTACGCACGCATGTACGCGACAAACACATAATTTACATTCACTCGACTCGTTTCCCCGTGAGATACGGACGACCCGCGACAAGGGCTCAAACCCAGGCTGGCGCAGCTTGCAGCTCGCGCGTCGTTAACGATTTAAACTAAAGTCACGTAGAATGAGAATAAAATAATAAATTGATAAAATAAAATAACACAATAATATTCTCACGACGTTTCGGCCACAACACAAGCGGCCTTCATCAGGTGAAGGGGCGAGACTGTCTGTTTACCGAAAGAACCAAAGAAGATGAATCATTGCAGTCACGAAAGCTTTAAATCGAGATTTAAACTAAAACTAAACACAGCTTCTTATTTTTATTTTACAAGGCAAGGGCGACCTGGCTGTCAAATGATAGCCCAACGAAGACACGCAAACTCCAAACGAAGTTGGGCTTACCACGAGGAAATGTACTGCAGCCCAAAGACTCTAAACGCGTGATGATGTTGATTCTAAATGTGGAGGGGAAAAACCGGAGGACCCGGAGATAAATCCACGCGACCAGTAGGGGAGAGAGAGAGAGAGACGTGCAAACTCCAAATACACAGCAGGCGTCAGGGTCGGGATCGAACCCACGACCTCCTGCACACCAGGCGAGGTCGTTAATATCTCATAGCCACCGTGATGATGATGAGAGAGAGAGACACGCAAACTCCAAATATACATCAGGCGTCAGGGTCGGGATCGAACCCACGACCTCCTGCACACCAGGCGAGGTAGTTAACATCTCATAGCCACCTTGATGATGATGAGAGAGAGAAAGACACGTAAACTCCAAATATACAGTAGGCTTCAGGGTCGGGATCGAACCCACCACTTCCTGTACACCAGGCGAGGTAGTTAACATCTCCTAGCCACCGTGATGATGATGAGAGAGAGAGAGACATGCAAACTCCACATATACAGCAGGCGTCAGGGTCGGGATGGAACCCACGACGTCCTGCACACCAGGCGAGGTAGTTAACATCTGCTAGCCACCGTGGTTTCACACTGGACCCCCCCCCCCCCGTTTCCCTGCCCCCCCCCCAGAGGGCGGGAGCCATGCACCGGGACAGCCCCCCAGCGCGCTGTATCAAGCCACCGAGCACCATGGACAAGTACGAGAAGCTGGCGAAGATTGGCGAGGGCTCCTACGGGGTCGTGTTCAAGTGCCGCGCGCGGGACACTGGCCACGTCGTCGCCATCAAGAAGTTCGTCGAGTCCGAGGAGGACCCGCTCATCAAGAAGATCGCGCTGCGCGAGATTCGCATGCTCAAGGTGGGCGGTGCAGGTCGAGGAGACGGGAGGAGACACTCACTCACTCGGTCCTGGAGACCGCGATTCAGGATCGGAGTCTCGGTTGAGACTCGGCTCCAGGGGGACCGGGTCTCAGGGTCGGAGTCTCGGTTGAGACTCGGCTTCAGGAGACCGGGTCTCAGGGTCGGAGTCTCGGTTGAGACTTTGTTCCAGGAGACCGGGTCTCAGGGTCGGAGTCTCGGTTGAGACTTGGCTCTAGGGGACCGGGTCTCAGGATCAGAGTCTCGGTTGAGTCTCGGCTCCAGGAGACCAGGTCTCAGGGTCGGAGTCTCGGTTGAGGACTCGGCTCCGGGAGACCGGGTCTCAGGGTCGGAGTCTCGGTTGAGTCTCGGCTCCAGGAGACCGGGTCTCAGGGTCGGAGTCTCGGTTGAGACTCGGCTCCAGAGGACCGGGTCTCAGGGTCGGAGTCTCAGTTGAGTCTCGGCTCCAGGAGACCGGGTCTCAGGGTCGGAGTCTCGGTTGAGACTCAGCTCCAGGAGACCGGGTCTCAGGATTGAGACTCAGCACCATGATGCAAGCGAAATGGTCAGAGCGCTGCACCGTCATCGTTGTGTTTTACAAAGTCGGCATTGTCTCAGTTTAGCGCTTTCCCACGTGAGCCTGTGGTGGGAATTGAGCTGCCGCATCTGCGCTCGATGGCAAACGGTGCCAACCTCGCCACGCATCCCCGTAGCTCTGACCTTCCTTTGCGCGCAGCACGGACACTCGTCTGAAAATGCTGACCATGTGCAGCCTCGTGTTCTCTCGGCACCCTCGATGTGAGAATTGATTTTCTTTTGTGGGCAGTGGAGGAGGTGGCAGCCCCCGTGTTTGAAGAGACAGCGAGAGGGCCTGGTGCGGGACTTGACAAACACTCTCAAACAGGGCTGCCTGTCCATTACACCGGAGTGTTTATTGACCCCCCCCCCCCAGCAATGATAAACACCCGGGTTGCTTTTCAACGGGAGAATGATCATGGACGCGAATAATCTTTTGTCAAGCTTATTTGTCATCAAATTAAATGTTGGTGCTCTCTGTGCGTGTGTGTTCGGGTAGCTCTTTCGAGACCACTCCATCAATTTCCCTGAATGAGGTGTCATTTTGAGCCTCATGCTATCTAATTCATATTGACACAACAGTCGACCTTTGACCACAGGCTTATTGGCTGTATGGCTGCTTATCCAATTTACAATTAGTACGGTGTGATACGGGACCTGTTTCAATATCGTACAAGGGAGAGGCGTGTGCCGAGGGGGATGGGGGTGTAGTTGGAGACACTCTGAGAAAGACACCCAACCCCAGGGCTTGAACCCGCAGGGTCTCTGAGTCACGCAGTCACGGAGCCTGGCGGTGGTGGTGACGGCTTTGCACGCCGGTAATCCAGCACACTGTGGAGGCAATGGGTTGGCACATCACACACGTATGTTGCAAACAAACGCTCGACCCTTAACCCGACTGCCCAGGAGAATGCGGTACAGCAAAATTGTGGACCCCACCTGTCCCGTCTGTATGGGATAGAGCGTTTCCCCCTTGCACGCGCTGGTCTTTCCCCGGGTGCTCCGGTTTCCTCCGACGCACAAACAGCTTATTCACCCTTTGCCGTTCCGAGACGTCTGCAAGTTGCCGGGCGGGTGGGTGTCCCGTTTCACCGCTGAATATCGGGGTGGGTGTCCTGTTTCACCGCCGAATCTGGGAACGCGCAAGAGGCCCGGTGTTCATTGTATTCAAGAGAGGCGTAGTAGCGCCGCTGTGTTTAAAGACGTCGTTACTCGCCGAAGAGATGCGTAGCGACACGACCGCCGCACTCTAAGACGGCCGGCGCCAAACCGTGCCACACGCCCCACCCGCGTGGCCTTGCGGGAGCCTCGGTACCGATTTCAAGTTAGTCTCGGTTTTGTTCCGATTCCGTTCAGATGACGTACTTGTGTGGGAAAGGGTCGATTGGCTGATCACGCCTCAAAGGGTCGATTGGCTGATAACGCCTCAACATGTAGAGGACTGCAGAGCTTGGCTAATTGTTGGCGCAAGCCCACCGCGGTTGGCTGCCTCCGTCCCCGTTCGTCCGCGGTTCCAGACTCCTCTCGGGCCGTCGCTTCTCTCCTTTGGCGAGCGAACGAGCGGACGGGCGGGCGGGCGGGCGGGCGGGCGAGCGGGCGGGCGCTGTGACTGCGCAAGGCACTGCGAGTTCACGGCGGTGTTTTTTGCTGGGTTGGATCGCGTCGTTAGAGCCGCCGCCCGCCCGACGCAGCGCCAATTTGGCGAGTTGTTTGTCACGTGAACAAAAGCGTGCGCCAGTGAGTTACGGGGGTTCAGCGCTTGAGGCGGGGGTTTGTGTGTTGGAGAGGAAAACCCCACAACGACGTGAACGATTCGAGTGCCGTGACGTTTCGCCGGCAATCGCAACAAGCCCGCGTTATCGGGCGCCGCAATCCAACGCAAAAAATAAAAAACTGTGTTGGATATCGGTCGCGAAGGCCTATGGTGTGTTAAACTGCGTTACAAGTTGACATTACGATTATTCATCGCGCTCTTTCAGGTGCGCTTCTGCGGCCGTCTGGAACACTCTTCCTTCCGATATTAAGGAAGCCACTGGGAACTATATAGTACTTTAAAATCATCATCTAGATTGACAAACCCATTCCTTTGAAAACTGCATGTTGTGTCTACTAATAGGGTTTTTCCCTCTTTTTTTGGCAACAAAATTGACACCTTTCGCGAGTCGTCATGTTTACATTAACCCACAATACTTGCAGTCAAAATGCAAACAAAAAACAATGCTCTGATATTCTTAGCTCTTTCGGTAAAGTCACGTTAAAGGGAAACAATAAAATAATAAAATATTAATAATAAAATATTGTTGAATATGAATTACTGCAGTCACGAAAGCTTCAAATCAAAATTTAATACTCTGATAATTTATGCATTGTCCTCGAAACTGATTGGTCCACACCAGAGACAGCTTTCCTTAGAGCCTCGTCTCATACGGCGTTCGACCTAGATGACGCCAAAAGGCGCACAGTTCAAAGACAACGCCACTGTCAGAGTATTGAAGGCTCCGGGTAAGCATCTACATCAGGAGGCCTCCTTTGCCAGTACCAAAATATACTAATAGGGTTTTTCCCCCTTTTTTTGTAAACATGACTCCTTGCAAAAGGTGTCGGTTTTGTTGCCAGGACAAAAAAGTGAAAAAACCCGATCGGTATATTTTGGTACTGGCAAAGGAGGCCTCATGATGTCGATGTTGTGTCTAGTTTGTCGTACTTCCCCCCCCCCCCCCCGCCCGCACCTCCGACGAGCACGGTTGGCTACGTACGGTCCGACAGAAGTTCAAGATACACACACACAAACACATAGACTGACACAGAGACCCATAGACCCAGAGACCCATTTCTTTAGAACTGCTTTTAGTCTTGATTTGAAGCTTTCGTGACTGCAGGATTCCCCATGCTCTTTGTTGCCTTCGGTAACGTCACCCAGGTAGAATAATAATAGATCACGTGACGTTTCGATAGCAATACAAGCAGGTAGGCGCCTACTTCAGCAGTTGTTTCTTGCTGTGGTTGTCCCACCTGATGACGATTGCTTGTGTTGCGATCGCAACGTCCCGATCAACTGCTTTTGTCGCACTTCCCCCGCCCGCACCTCCGACGAGCACGGTTGGCTGCGTACGGTCCGACAGAAGTTCAAGATACACACACACACATAGACTGACACAGAGACCCATAGACTCAGAGACCCATTCCTTTAGAACTGCTTTTAGTCTTGATTTGAAGCTAACGTGACTGCAGGAATCCCCATACTCTTTGTTGCCTTCGGTAACGTCACGTAGGTAGAAAAATAATGGATCACGTGACGTTTCGATAGCAATACAAGCAGGTAGGCGCCTACTTCAGCAGTTGTTTCTTGCTGTGGTTGTCCCACCTGATGACGATTGCTTGTGTTGCGATCGCAACGTCCCAATCAACTTCTTTTGTCGCACTTCCCCCGCCCGCACCTCCGACGAGCACGGTTGGCTACGTACGGTCCGACAGAAGTTCAAGATACACACACACACATAGACTGACACAGAGACCCATAGACTCAGAGACCCATTGCTTTAGAACTGCTTTTAGTCTTGATTTGAAGCTTTCGTGACTGCAGGAATCCCCATACTCTTTGTTGCCTTCGGTAACGTCACGTAGGTAGAAAAATAATGGATCACGTGACGTTTCGATAGCAATACAAGCAGGTAGGCGCCTACTTCAGCTGTTGTTTCTTGCTGTGCTTGTCCCACCTGATGACGATTGCTTGTGTTGCGATCGCAACGTCCCGCTCAACTGCTTTTAGCGTTCAGTTTGTTGTCCTTCCCCCGCACCTCCGATCAGGACGGCTGGCCACGTACGGCGCGAAAGAAGTTCAACGTACACACACATGAAAAGCCAACGTATCCTCTTTTGTCGTACCCTCAAATCTTGTCACTCAATTTTAACCCACTGCCCAATGTGGTATCGACTGCAAACTTGGTATGCTTGTGCCATACCGATGACGATACTATTTTGTACCATTAAAAAAAATTACAATTTATTTTTAATGATGGAAAATATTTGTTTCCCTTCTACGTGACTTTACCGAAAGAACCACGAATATGAATCTTTTTTTACATGTTATGTTTCGGCTTGGGTTTAATTGTCCACGCTCAACTCACGTTGGCTGTAAATCACCAATGCTCCCTTACGTTGTGGCCAGCTTTGGGGCCACTTCCTGGAGTCGTGGAGTTCTGCCATTAGCTAGCACGGTACATTTCATTAAAGCGTGTTTTAATTTTTTATTTATTAAATATTACTTGTTTTTTCCTCCGTACGGCGAGGTCTTCGTCCAGCAAGTGGATAACGAAAGGGGCTGAGAGTGTGGAAGCGTCGTTACGATACATTTGTCACGTTGACCGCGAGGTTTGCGCGAACGCCGCGGAACGGGGGGGGGGGGCGCGAATCGTGAGTGCCTGCGGGGGTCACGAGTCGTTCCCACAACGCGGCAAGGAACCCCCTCCCCTCGCCCCCCCCCCCTTTATTTGTTTGGAGTCTCTCGTCCGCAACTGGAGACACGGGACGACGCCGTCTCATCCCCCGTGCATGGGCCCCGTGGCCCGAGCGCAAACAGGTTTAGCGTGGGGTTGTGTTGGGGTTTTTGTTCTTGTTATTTAAGACCGCGCACAATAGACAACGCAGCGCGGTGAGCGGAGGGGGGCACCTGGCAACGGCTGTTGATGGAATCGGATTAACCAGCCCATGTGTGAATGTACTCGTGTGCAGTGACAGGCATTGCCTCCATTGAGCTCCACAAATACACGCGCAAGGGGGTCACCGGACAATGACAGACAGACAGAGCGGCCTCTGGTGGGGGTCTCTAGACACGGACAGACAGACACTGACGGACAACAAAGATCCCCCGTGTAGCCTTAACAGACTGTAGGGGCAAGTGCTGTTAGCTAGCACCTATGAAGGCCGGAACGGTACACGAGGGGGTGGGTGGCCAGCACCACGCCCGACCGCCTTTGTCTCCCTAGTTGCGATGTTTAAACACTGCACCAGGTACTCATTTAAGGCTGAGTCGACCTAGGGGAGGCCCGGGACCGGTTCAGATAATCGTCACTGGTGTTGGCCATGAGCGGGAATCGAACCCGTGTCGCCGGGTTCATAGCACAGCGTAGCGCTAACCGCTACACCACTGCTCCCCAGACACTGACAGACACTGACAGACACTGAGAGAGACACTGAGAGACAGACACTGAGAGACAGACACTGAGACAGACCGGTCTCTGATGTGGTCTCTAGACACTGACAGAGAGACACTGACAGACAGACCGGCCTCTGATGGGGTCTCTAGATACTGACAGACAGACACTGACAGAGAGACACTGAGAGACAGACCGGTCTCTGATGGGGTCTCTAGACACTGACAGAGAGACACTGACAGACAGACCGGCCTCTGATGGGGTCTCTAGACACTGACAGACAGACACTGAGAGAGAGACCGGCCTCTGATGGGGTCTCTAGATACTGACAGACAGACACTGACAGACAGACACTGACAGACAGACCGGCCTCTGATGGGGTCTCTAGACACTGACAGACAGACACTGAGAGACAGACCGGTCTCTGATGGGGTCTCTAGATACTGACAGACAAACACTGACAGACAGACACTGACAGACAGACAGACACTGAGAGACAGACCGGTCTCTGAAGGGGTCTCTAGACACTGACAGACAGACACTGACAGACAGACACTGAGAGACAGACACTGACAGACAGACACTGACAGACAGACACTGACAGACAGACACTGACAGACAGACCGGCCTCTGATGGGGTCTCTAGACACTGACAAAGAGACCGGCCTCTGATGGGGTCTCTAGACACTGACAGACAGACCGGCCTCTGATGGGGTCTCTAGACACTGACAGACAGACACTGACAGACAGACACTGACAGACAGACACTGACAGACAGACACTGACAGACAGACACTGACAGACAGACCGGTCTCTGATGGGGTCTCTAGACACTGACAGACAGACACTGACAGACAGACCGGTCTCTGATGGGGTCTCTAGACACTGACAGACAGACACTGACAGAGAGACACTGAGAGACAGACCGGTCTCTGATGGGGTCTCTAGACAATCACAGACAGACACTGACAGACTGACACTGACAGACACTGACAGACAGACCGGTCTCTGATGGGGTCTCTAGACACTGACAGACAGACACTGACAGACAGACCGGTCTCTGATGGGGTCTCTAGACACTGACAGACAGACACTGACAGACAGACTGGTCTCTGATGGGGTCTCTAGACACTGACAGACAGACACTGAGAGAGACACACTGAGAGAGAGACACTGACAGACAGACACTGACAGACAGACCGGCCTCTGATGGGGTCTCTAGACAATGATGACTGTGTTTGAACGTTGCTTTGCACCCTCTCGCTTCCAGCAACTAAAGCACCCGAACCTGGTGAATCTCCTTGAAGTGTTCCGCAAGAAGAGAAGGCTCCACCTCGTGTTCGAGTACTGCGACCACACGGTCCTCAACGAGCTGGACAAACACCCCCACGGGTAAACACACCAAAGACAAAGATCCCCCGTGTAGCCTTAACAGTCTGTTGGGGCAAGTGTTGTTAGCGAGCAGCACCTATAAAGGCTGGCATGGCACACGAGGGGGTGGGTGGCCAACACCACGCAGGGCCGCCTTTGTCTTCCCAATGACGATGTTTACACATTGCACCAGGTGCTCATTTGAGGTTGAGTCAACCTAGGGGAGGTCCAGGATCGGTTCAGATAATCGTCACCGGTGTTGGCCGTGGGCGGGAATCGAACTCGGGTCGCCGGGTTCGTAGCGCAGCGCGCTAAGCGCTGTGCCACCGCTCCCCGACACGCATACGCACACACACATACACACGTACACACACACATACACACACACATACACACATACACCCGCACACATACGCACACATACACACACACACATACACACATCCACACATACACACACATGCACACACGCGCACACGCACATACATACACACACATACACACGCACATGCACATACATACACACATACGCACGCACACACACACACATACGCACACATACACGCACACACACATACACACACACATACACACACACATACACACATACACACACATACACACATACACACACACATATCCCAAGCAAGAAGACGTATCCCAAGCAAGACGTATCCCAAGCGAGACATCGTTTCCCAAGACATTTTTTTCTCGTCAAAACACGACGTGTACCAAATTCGACGTATTCCAAAGCGGTCGTATACCGAGGCGTGACTGTGTGTCGAACTTCTTTTGCACGGTTACGTAGCCAACTGTGCTAACGGAAGGTGCGCGGGAAGGATAACAAACCAAACACAAAACGCAGTTCTGAAGAAATGAGTTTGTCAACCTAGATGATGATTTACAAGTGCCACATAGCTCCAGTGACTTGCTAATATCGGAAGGAAAAGCCACAGAAGCCACATCTGAAAGCGCCGCGCGACGCGGCAGTGAGGGTCTTCGTTCGATGGCCACCCAAAAGCCGCCGCAGCTGCTGCTGCTGCGAGGATGACCGCCAGCACTGACGGACCCGTGTCCTTGTGCCCTGCAGGGTTCCCGAACCCCAAGTGAAGAACATCTTGTTCCAGACTCTGCAGGCGGTCGGCTTCTGTCACCAGCACAACGTACGTCTCTCCGGCACACAGTGAGATGTTTCATCATCATCATCAGCAGCAGCAGCAGTAGGGGACGTCGGCGATTGTAGCGGCGTCAGCAGCAGTTTCATCGGCAGCAATCGCATCATCTTCAGGAGCATCGGCAGCAGTTGCATCTTCATCATCATCATCAGCAGCATCATTATCAGCAGTAGCAGCATCAGCAGCATCAGCATCGCATGATCATCATCACGAACCAGGTTCTGAAGTGTAGGTAGTTGATCTCTTATCCAGGTCCGCAATGACTGCAAAAAAAAACTATCAGATAAAGTTTCGATTTCGCATAATTTGGCTAAATTCCAGCTCTTGACAATCACGGCAGCAGGGTTGCGCAGAGGTCTCGCAGCAACACCGCCTTGGGTTCGATTCCTAACTGGGGGGGCGCCCCCCAGTTAGTTCTCACCGCTGTCTTCCGGCTTACTCCCGCGGCCAATAAAGCGGCCGATGAAACGTAAAAAGCGACTTTGAGATTGCACGTCGCAGCGACGTCGCCCCCCCCCGCCCCCGCCGCTGCGAGACCTTGCCAGGAGCGAGCGGCCACCGCTTGCCAGTGAAGGCAGCGACGGTGGTGGTCTGCGGGTGACGGTGACGGGGCGGGGGCGTGGTGGTGGTGGTGGTGGTGGAGCGGCGGGTGTGGGGTAGCTGTCGGCCGTGGCGTCGCGTTGACGCGCCGTGTTCACCTGCCGCCGTGTTGCCGCGTTGACGTGTTGACACGCCGTGTTGTCGTGTTGATGTGTTGACCTGCCGTGTTGACGTGTTGACGCGACGTGTTGACCTGCCGTGTTGCCGTGGTGACGCGCCATGTTGCCGCGTTGACGTGTTGACCTACCGTGTTGACGTGGTGACGCGCCATGTTGCCGCGTTGACGTGTTGACCTACCGTGTTGACGTGTTGACGCGCTGTGTTGACGTGTTGACCTGCCGTGTTGACTTATTGACGCGTCGTGTTGCCGCGTTGACGTGTTGACCTACCGTGTTGACGTGTTGACGCGCCGTGTTGACGTGTTGACCTGCCGTGTTGACGCGTTGACCTGCCGTGTTGCCGTGTTGACCTGCCGTGTTGCCGTGTTGACCTGCCGTGTTGCCACACCGTGTTGACCCGCTGTGTTGACGCGTCGTGTTCACCTTCCGCCGTGTTGTCGTGTTGATTGTGTTGACGCGCTGTGTTGTCGTGTTGACCTGCCGTGTTGTCGTGTTGCCACGCCGTGTTGACCTGCCGTGTTGCCATGTTGACGCGCCGAGTTGCCATGTTGCCACACCGTGTTGCCGCGTTGACCTTCGGTTTGTATTTGCCGCGGCAGTGCATCCACCGTGACGTGAAGCCAGAGAACATCCTGGTGACCAAGCAGGGAATCATCAAACTCTGCGACTTTGGCTTTGCCCGCATGCTAAGTAAGTTTCCTGCACGCACACACACACACTCACCCCGTGGGGAGCGGTGGTGCAGCGGTTAGCGCTACGCTGCACGCACACACACACTCACCCCGTGGGGAGCGGTGGTGCAGCGGTTAGCGCTACGCTGCACGCACACACACACACACTCACCCTGTGGGGAGCGGTGGTGCAGCGGTTAGCGCTACGCTGCGCTACTAACCCGGCGACCCGAGTTCGATTCCCGCTCACGGCCAACACCAGTGACGATTATTTGAACCGGTCCTGGGCCTCCCCCTAGGTCGACTCGACCTCAATTGATGAGTTCCTGGTGCGGTGTGTAAACATCGCCACTCAGGATAAAAAGGCGGCCCGGGCATGGTTCTGGCAACCCCCAACCCCATCGTCTGCCGTGCCAACGTTCATCAAACAAAGATGGTGGTCACCGCATCATCGCGCGGTCGCTTCCAGATGCACTTCCGCGGCCGTCTGGAACGCCTCTTCCTCCCGATATTAGTTAGCCGCTGGGGGCTGTATGGCAATTTTAAATCATAATTTAGATTGGAAACTCATTTCCTTAGAAGAACCGCTTCACGTATTTCGTTTGCTGTCCTTTCCCTGCACTTCTGACGGGCGCGTACGACGCGAAAGAAGTTCAACATACGCACGGTACATAGGCGCTGCTCGCTAATAGCACTCGCCCCAAAAGTTCGTTAAGGCGGGGGGTCATTTGTCCTTGTTGTAGCGGGACCGGGCGACGAGTACACGGACTACGTGGCGACGCGCTGGTACCGCGCCCCCGAGCTGCTGGTGGGCGACACGCACTACGGACCCGCCGTCGACGTGTGGGCGCTGGGCTGCGTCTTCGCCGAGCTCCTGGCCGGGGAGCCTCTGTGGCCGGGCCGATCGGACGTCGATCAGCTACACCTCATCCGCACGACGCAGGGTCGGACACGCACGCTCGCTCGCTCGCGCGCTAGCACGCTGACACGCTCGCTGGCACGCTCGCACGCTCGCCGAGCACGCTAGTACACACGCTCACACGCTCGCTAGTACACACGCTCACACGCACGCTAGTACACACGCTCACACGCTCGCTAGTACACACGCTCGCACGCTGACACGCTCACTAGCACGCTCGCACGCTAGCACGCTCGCATGCTCACCGAGCACGCTAGTACACACGCTCGCACGCTCACACGCACGCTAGTACACACGCTCGCACGCTCACACGCTCGCTAGTACGCACGCTCACACACTCGCTAGTACACACGCTCGCACGCTGACACGCTCGCTCGCTAGCACGCTCGCACGCTCGCACGCTCACCGAGCACGCTAGTACATACGCTCGCACGCTCACACGCTCGCTAGTACATACGCTCGCACGCTGACACGCTCGCTAGTACACACGCTCGCGCGTACATTTTTCATCGTTGCTACGGATACTGCACGGCCGTCGTTGGATTCTTGAGATGCTAACAAATTCTCCATTCGCTCGTTTTGATTATTTACATTATTATTTTATATTACACATATATTTTTTTTACCGATGGCTCGTTTTTAATCGCGACCGAGAAATTTGCGGAGGTCGCGAGTTATTGTCCCCCATCCCCCCGCTCGTTAGTTCTCCCGGAAGCTTTCGTGCAGTCGTCGGCTGTGAATGACGGATTGAGTGAATGACCGAGTGACCAAACGTTGTCCTTCAGGAGACCTCATTCCACGACACCAGCAGATCTTCAGCTCGAACCAGTTCTTCAGCGGGCTGAGCATCCCCGAGCCTGAGACACGGGTGGGTGGACACTGAGACACCTCGAGATGTTAACTACCTTCTCCTCGTATACAGGAGGTCGTGGGTTCGACCCCGACCCCTGCTGTATATTTGGAGTTTGCGTGTCTCTCTCTTTCATCATCATCATCATCACGGTGGCTAGGAGATGTTAACTACCTCGCCTGGTGTACAGGAAGTCATGCGTTCGATCCCGACCCTGACGCCTGCTGCTGTATATTTAGGAGTTTGCGTGTCTCTTTCATCATCATCAAGGTGGCTAGGAGATGTTAACTACCTCGCCTGGTGTACAGGAGGTCGTGGGTTCGATCCCGACCCTGACACCTGCTGCTGTATATTTGGAGTTTGTGTGTCTCATCACGGTGGCTGGGAGATGTTAACTACCTCGCCTGGTGTACAGGCAAAGTAGTTTGCGTGTCTCATCACGGTGGCTGGGAGATGTTAACCACTTCGCCTGGTGTACAGGAGGCCGTGGCTTCGATCCGGACTCTTGCTATATATTTGGAGTCTCTCCCTCCCTCTCGCTCTCCGTGGTCGCGTGGATTCTTCTCCGGGTGCCTCCAGTTTTTCCCATCCACATTTAGAATCGACGTCACGCGTTGAGAGCATTCGGCTGCTGTACTTGTCCACGCGACGATAAGCCACTTTCGTTGAGCTGCCATCGTTTGTGATAGCCAAGTCGCTTCTGACAAAGGGCTACACAGCTCAGTGGGGCCCGACCGAGTAAGGCCTCCAGAATTAAGATCGGATGAGACGGGACGCATTGTGTGGGTGATGTGGGCATAGGCGGTAGAGGTGAGGTCTGTTGCAGTGTCGCAAATAGCGGCGTGCATGTATAGCTTGTAGTTAGAGTTCAGCGCCGGCGTGTTTCTAAAAACTGACATTCCACCTCAGAATCAGAATATTGTATTCATGGTGGAGGAATCCGATGAGCTATGAAGCTCCTTTTCACGGATGTCCAGTTGGGGCACGGGGTATGACAATAAAACAGTTACACAAACACGGTAGGAGTGCAAAGTACACAAAAGGTCAACAAATCACCCAAACACAAATAAAACTCAACCATCCCCATCCTATGCGTCCACTGAGGTATTAACTTACTGTTCAAAAGCCACAAATGATAGCTCAACAAAGTGACCATGGGGAGAGATACACAAACTCCAAATGTACAGCAGGCGTCATGGTTGGGATCGAACCCCCGACCTCCTGCATACCAGGCGAGGTAGTTAACATCTCACCACTATGATGATGATGATGAGAGACACACAAATTCCAAATACACAGCAGCAGGCGTCAGGGTCGGGATCAAACCCCGACCTCCTGCGTACCAGGCGAGGTAGTTAACATCTCACCACTATGATGATGATGATGAGAGACGCACAAATTCCAAATACACAGCAGCAGGCGTCAGGGTCGGGATCAAACCCCGACCTCCTGCGTACCAAGCGAGGGAGTTAACATCTAACGCAAGCACGACGGCAGCTGTCGCTTTCCACCTCTCACGCTTTCTCCATCCTGCCCCTCCGGGCCGACTCGCACCGCCAGGAGCCGCTGGAGTCGCGCTTCCCGTGCGCGTCGCCCGCGGCGCTCTCCTTCATGCGCGGCTGCCTGGAGATGGACCCGGCCAACCGGGCGGCCTGCGACGGCCTCCTCGGCCACCCCTACCTGGCAGAGCGGGACGGCGACCGGCGGCGCTCCGAGCGGCACGGCCGCCTGCCGCTCGTCGCGCACGGCGCCAGGAGGACGCACGGCGGCGGCGCCGCGCGTCACAACGGCGGCCACGCCTCCAACGGCAACAACAACAACAACGCCGGCGGCGGCAACAAGTACGACAACCACCGGCTGCCGGACATCAACGCGCCGAACGCGGCGCACGCCGCACGCGCGTCGTCGTCGCCGCAGCCGCCCACGCCGCCCACGCCGCCGCTCTGCCTCACCCCGTTCATGCGGGCGCCCAAGTCGTAGAGGAAGTGGCCCGCCGCCGCTACCCACCGGGGCCACCGCTCGTCCCTGGTCCGCTGAGGTTTCGCTCGCCCCCCCGTCCGACGGAATGCCCCCGACTCGAACCGCCGCCTGCACCGGAGATGAACGCCCCCCCCCACCCCGCTCGCTACCACTTGCAACCGCTCGCAAACGCTTGCAACCGCCCACCTGCTCGGCTTGCGGGATCCGATGAGAAGCGGGCGCATTGCGGCTGACGCGTGGTCATAGGCGGCATAGAGGTTAGCTCTGTGACAATGTGACTAGGCCGGAGCGAACGTCCTGTGTTTTCAGCGTTGGCGTCTCCGGCCTGCTCTGACGAGCGCTTGGACCGCAGCACTCGACTCCTGTTTACAGCCCCCGAGCCAGCGGTGGGAAATTCCACGTTCCCGTGGCAGGACGAGGCGACCCACGCAAACCGAACCACCGCTAACTTCCCGCCACGGTGATGCACGCTCGCTATCATGCGGTGGTCGAAGTGTTCCGAAGGGGCGCGCAAAATCACGGTCGCCACGGACGCCACCGCACTACGTCAGCTGCCTGCCGATGGGCGCGCGAACGACAACGCCAACGGCGCTGTCCCACGTCCGACCGCGGAGCCGAGTGCGGGTGCAATTGATGAAGGCGCCTCGTAGAGGCAACAATTTGTGGGTAGATGTTGGTCGGCTGCACGTGCAGCGCGGAATCGTGATAAACCGAAGCTGATGTGGAGCGAGAGGGACTGCCCGTACGGCGTTCCCTTGTTAGTCATGCACTTGGCTGTCGGCGATGTCGGCTCTCTGCGAATCGCATCTGGAAATCTACACAACGGCTGCATGATGAGAGAGAGAAAGTGATGAGAGAGAGAAAGTGATGAGAGAGAGAGTGATGAGAGAGAGAAAGTGATGAGAGAGAGAAAGTGATGAGAGAGAGAAAGTGATGAGAGAGTGAAAGTGATGAGAGAGAGAAAATTATGAGAGAGAGAAAATTATGAGAGAGAGAAAGTGATGAGAGAAAGTGATGAGAGAGAGAAAGTGATGAGAGAGAGAGAGAAAGTGATGAGAGGGAGAGAAAGTGATGAGAGAGAGTGAAAGTGATGAGAGTGAAAGTGATGAGAGAGAGAAAGTGATGAGAGAGTGAAAGTGATGAGAGAGAGACTTTTGACTTTTGACTGCCTTTATTCAGGCTTCCACCTGCTATTGCAGTGGAGCCACAGTGCATCGGACCATAGTCCAGGCAGCAACGGTGATGGGGGAAAAAAAAAACGACACTGGGCGGCGGCACACACGCCGTCACCTACAGCATCCCGTACACGGAAAAAAAACCCCTTCTCAAACGACGCGCGCCATCGGGCGTCATCCGCGCCAGGCTTATGGGGGGGGGGGGGGGGGGGGGTAGTCCCAGCTAAAAACAGCAAAAAATGACAACGACACCGGTCAAGCGCGTCAACGCGCGCACGACCGACGGCACAACTGGTGCATACAAGCACGGGCTTCATAGCGCGGATGAAGCGAGAGTTACACCGCAACCTCCGCTCATCCCCGCGTGCGCGCAGAAAATAGACAAAACACGATCCTCAAAAAAAAAAAAACGCCACACAAGTTCACGCTCGCCCCACGCCGCCAGAAGGAGCCTCGGCTCGCACGACGTGTGGGTGGGCGCCAGGAGCGTTCAAAAAGTAAAAGTCAGCGTGCCGTCCGTGACGGTACACAGGGCCTGGCCAGCCCCCCACCGCTCGAGGAAGCCGGCCAGCGCGCCCTCGGCGGAGGCGTCGTGATATTCATACTCCAACCGAATGCACGCTTTAAGAAGTCCACCCAGCACCGCCACCGCGGAGCAGCTGCCGTCGGCGACACCCTGCAATTTCTTTTTGCGTGTCTTGTATATAGCCATTTTCGCCTGCGCGATGGCAAAGTTCGCGAAGTGGTGCCGCCTGCTTGTCAGGTAAGGCACCCCGCAGGCAAAACGGCTCCTGTAGAAGGGGACCCCCAGTTTCACAAAAAACGTTCCCAGGAGCTGAAACAGCGGGCCGAGCCGTGGGCATTTCAGATATTGGTGAGCCAGGTCCTCGACCGCGCCGCAGAACTCGCACAGGTTCGACACCCCGGGGGTGACCTTGCTGAGCCACGCGGCAGAGGGCAGCGTCCAGTGCGCGAGCCTCCATTGGAGGTCTCCGCAGCGCTTCGTTACGGGGGACTTGTAAAAACACTCCCACTGGGGGTGGGCCTCAGTCATGGGGGGGAAATGAGCCCTCCATTTGATGTCCGGCGCGTCCGCCAGCTCCGTGCAGTGGAGCGCTTTCACGCAGCATTCATAGAGCACCTTCTTCGGAGCGCTCTCGAGGGCCACGTCCTTGCATTGATCGAGCCGCAGCAGCTTTCCGGCATCACAGCGCCCGGGGGGCTGCGCGCAGGAGAGGAGGAGCCCCGGGAAGGGCGGGGGGGGGGAGGGTGGGGGGGGTAGAGGTGGGTGGGGGGGGTCGGGGTGGGGGGTCCCTCGGTGCCACGGTCTTCCGGCGCATCCAGCGCTAAGCACAGCCCCCGCATTACTTTGAGCGCCTCCCGCGACAACTTCTCCCCCGCGAGCACGGTGCGGAGTCCCGCGGCGCCGCTCACCTCCGCCGCAGCACTTCACGAGGTCGCCCACCCTCCGCACCCCCGCCCCGGCGAAGCGGAGGGCGAGGGTCCTCCCTAATCCCTGCAAAAAGTCGATTAAAGAACAGAGGCTCGCGCAGGAACTGTGCGAGGCCATCCCGCGGCTTCGCCCTGTCCCACGCAAGACTCCGGCACGCGTCCAGTAAGCTCCGGTGGTACTCGGGCAGCCCCGTATAGTCAACAAGGTCCAAGTCCAATAGGACCAGCTCTCTGTCGTACCCCAGGCGCCCGCCCGCACCCCTCAACAGGCTGAGGGCCAGCGCTGTCCACTGGGGTCCCTCTCGTTGGTACAACAGGCGCCGCATGGCCTGCAGCCTGAAAAAATAACTTTGGCGGTGACATCCACCAGGCCCTGACCACCCTCTCGCACCGGCAGGTGGAGCATGCCCGGCTTCATCCAGTGCTTACCGCACCAGACGAAGTGGACGAGCGAGCGGCCCGTCCCCCGGAGCAACCAGTCAGGGGGCTGAATGACTTTAGCCCGGTGCCATAAAACAGACGCCGCCAGGTTGTTTCCCACCAGCACCCGCCCCCTGAAGGACAGTAGTGGGGCCAGCTTCGTCCATGCCGACAGCTTGGCCTCAAACGCTTCTTTCAACTCAGTCCAGTTTCGTTCAACCGCCCGCGGTCTGCCCAGGTGAACCCCCAGGTACCGCACACCCTCGTCCTGCCACGTGACTCCCCCGGGGAGGAGCACAGAGCGCACGACGCCCCGCGCTCCCAGGCAGAGGGCCTCGCTTTTCTCCCAGTTGACCTTGGCGCCGGACGCTCGTTCGAATGTCGCCACAGCCCTGCAGAGCGTTGAGAGGTCTCGTGCGTCGCTGACCACCACGCACACGTCATCTGCATAGGCCGACACCTGTATAGCGACGTTCCCCGGGCCTGGAACCGCGAGCCCAGGCAAAACTTCCTTCAACCTGCGCACCAGCGGCTCAACGCTCAGGGCGTAGAGGAGCCCTGAGAGCGGGCACCCCTGCCTGATCCCTCTCGTCACAGGGAAGGGGGGAAAGCCCCCTCTCGCGGCTCCTGCTCGGCGCATACAAAGTTGAAACACGTCAGCTTCGTGTCGTTGGCCACAAAGTCCACTGAGATCAAATGGCCTTTCGCAATCTCTTTAAAGACCACGTTCAAAGGAAGGAACTTCGGACCGAACACGATCGCGGCCGCAGCGAGGTTGTCCTCGCCGTGGCTGAAGATGGCCTGGCTGCCCATGAGGTGTTGACGTTGGGCCTACAGAGTGTCGTCGAGGTGCGTTTCTTGTAGGGACGTTACGTCTGCCTTCTGGTCGTTGAGAAAGCGACAGACGAGGTGCCACCTCTTGTCGCTACGAGCACTGTTGCAATTCAAACTCGCGATCTTGACGCCCGAAGCCATGGCATTAGGTGTTGGAAATGGCTACAGGGGGGCACTTTGGGCGGGAGGAGCTCTTCCTCTTCACCTTTTGTACCAACGCTTTCAGTCGGTAGCATTCCTGCGGACTGAACGCGTACTTTTGCGGCTCGCGATATATTTTCTGTGTGGCCTTCATGAAGCCCAGCGCATCGGGGAAGGAATCCGATGCTGACCCCACGCTTCTTGTAGGTGGATTAGAGGAAGTGGAGGATGTCGGCACGGCGGTTTCGCGTATTTCTGCTCCCCCTTGACTTGCGAGAAGTTCATCTCGCTTGTGTTGTCGTCAACGTCAGACTCCGACCGCTCATCGTCAGAGTCTTTGTGCGTGCTCTCGTGAGGCTCGGCGGCCACCTCTTCTGTCGAGCCACACAGAGCCGGGGTCTCCTCGGGCTCGGGGTGGCTCTCCTCGTCGGGCGAGGAGGTGGGCTGACCGGCACCCTCGAGCGCCGTGGCACCGTTAGGTGCGGCGGTGGTGGTCTGCAGTTCCGGGACAGCTGAGGCCGGGTCCGGTGGTCGTCCCTCTGCCTCTGCGTCGTCTGGTGGGTGGGTGGCGTCAGCGGCGTTCACCTCGTCCTGTGGCTCGAACTCGCCTCCGCTCTCCGCCGCTGCGTCCGGGTGGTCGTCCGGTTCGCCTTTGTCGTTGTCGCCGGTGATCGCCGTCCGCTTGGGAAGGTCACCGGCGTGTGCCGCCGCTGCGGGGCCGGCTCCGGCCCTGCGCTTTCGCGACGCGACGCGGGTGAAGCCGTCCCGCTCGCCCTCCGGTGCTGACTCTACGCGGTCGGCTATGGAGTCGGCGTGGTCGTGCTGTTGCTGCTGCTGCGGCTGCTGCTGCTGCTCGTCGCGCTGCTGCCGCTGCCGCTGCTGCTGCTACGGTTTTTTCTGTTTCTGCGTTTTTTGCCGTTGCTGCTCCACGTGCGGCGTTGCAGGCGGTGCAGCGGCAGCAGCCTCGTTTTTCTTGTCCGGGCAGTTTTTCCGGGTGTGGCCGGTACCACCACACCCAAAGCACCGCGGCACGGCCGTGGAGGCGTACACGGTGTAGACGTGCCCGTCGATGGTATATTTTAGGGTTACGTCGAGGTCCGTGTTGCCGCCATTTAAGATCGTAAAGGTATGGCGCCGTAGCGACATCACGTGCGCCAGTTTCGGGTCCCTCGTACGCAGGGGCAGCATGGCGATGCGCGAAACCGCCGTGCCGAACCGCTGCAGGGCCCGCTGGAGGCCTGCGCTCCTGAGGAAGGGTGGCGCGCCCGAGAGCAGCACCCTGATGGCGGGCGTTGAGAGCGGGGTGCACTGCAAAAACAGCTCCCCGCCGATGTTGAGCCCCGTCTCCACGAGGCGCGCCACCATGTCCTCCTCGGCCACGCAGACGGTGACGCCGCGGTTCTGCCGTTGGGCAGCGAGGATGCCCGCGTGGCCGACGCACGCGGCGACGGCCTCGACGGCGATCTCGGGCGGAGGAAAGGCGACGATCGCGTTCCTCCGCGTGAGGGTCTCCAGCCTGGCGTACTGCGCCATGATGGTCGTCAGCAGCAGGGCAGCGCACGACGACTCTGTAGCTCACGAACCGAATGAGGTGAATTGCGCTCAAAGGCTCAGTGAGCGAAGTAAAAAAAATGGGAATAAA